CATACAGCATCGTTGCCAATGTTCCCTGCCACCGATTGCAGATTCGGGAGTTTTATTCGTATAAGTTTTTGTATGGCTAAAGTCTGGTAGGCAGTGTGGAAGAGAGGTGCGATGCAGAGAACAACAACGGGGTTACTAAGCTATAAATAATTTCGAGGGTAACATCATAACACTGCATCTTAATAGTGGTCATGGGGTTTAATTTATTTTTAATTATTTATTTATTTTTATATTATTATTATTTTTTGTGGGGGGGGTGGGCTTCCAATAGTCACAAGTAAGGCTTTGTGTCATAGTACTCTTTCGTTACCCCCAACACACACACACACACACAGGATTCGTATGTCCGGTCCAGTTCAAGAGTAAACACACACATTGATAAACTCTTAATTACTATTTTTAACAACTAGAAACCATTCTCGGGCTAACCAGCTTTCGTTCTGGCACATGCGTTCATGAATAGAGCGAGCAGTCGTTTTGTAGGATGGCTTGTTAAGAATCAGATCATTGTGTTGACGAATTTACGATGTAAGAAAATAGTGTTTGTGTTGGTGTGTGCGCGCGCGCGCTCAGAATTCAACCTGAACATTATGTGGTGGGGTTTGATAGTAGTGGTGTGATAGTTGTTGTTGTGGTGTGGCAGGAGTGTGATAGTGGTGGTGTGGCAGGGGTGTCATAGTGTGGGGTGTGGTGTGGCAAAGGTGGTAGGACAGGTAACGGCGACTTTGTACCACTGGTCGACCTTGATAGAGCTGCACTACCTCCCACATTACCTCAAACTACACCTGACCACACACACCTGTTGCTACACACCTGACAGGGTACTTCACACTATGCAGTACTCCACACCTGACACTACGATTCCATACCCAAAACTACACACCTAGCTCCTCATACCTGACACTACAGTGCCTACACACCTGTCTCCTTATTTGTGACACTACACATGTCTCCTCATACCTGACACTACACACCTGTCTCCTCATACCTGACACTACACACCTGGCTCCTCACCTGACAACCCCTCCATGCCCTGTGACTCCGGGTGGTGTCCTGTTACTCTCATTCAGGTCTAGTGTTAACACCAGATGTATGTATGTCTCTCTCTCTCATTTATTGGTATGGTGTTTCGCCTTTGGTATCTTGTTCTTCTGAAAACGTTGATGTACATTATCTCAAAAAGTATCTGCCCACTTTGTAAAAGATTATGAGACCACGAATGATAGATATTGGGACAGGCATTTACTTTGGTATATAGTTTAACGTAAGTAATGCAATGTGTATTTATTCCGGCTTAATTAATATAATGTTAGGTCACCAAATGTAGTAGGATCAGTATGCCACAGGGCCACGCATACCAACCCTTCCGGGATATCATGAGTTGCGTGTAGCATTTCGGAAGTAATTGGACCCATCCTGGCAGATACTTTTTTGAGAGACTGTATAGTACCATAGGTGTTGTGTTGGTAATGGCTGTGGTGGTAGTAGTGTCAAGTAGATGAATGAGTGAGTGGTGTAGGTTGACACTTGGTGAGTGGGTGATGATTGATGGTGGTTACTAGTTGATTTTGGTTAGTAGTTGGTAATAATGATAAAGTTTCTCAGTGAGGGAGGGTGACTCACTCACTGGCTCTAACCACCTTACTCAGCCCAGCAACTAGATTGTGGTCGTGTGGTAACAACCAAGGACAGCTTAACAGTGATGATGCCTGCAGCTGGGTGGAGGAGAGGTGGGTGGAGAAGGTACTAGGCTGGAGAATCCTCACTGGGATGGGTTACGGTGACGAGTTAATGAACGCTTTTCTTGAAACATTCTTATCACATTCAGCTTATAGTTTTTTTGGCGTGTCGATATTATTGATAATGTTTATATAATTATTTTTATTCGTGTTAAACATTTCTTCGGCAGCCAAAGTCAGGAGGCGTTGGAAACTCCTGCAAACTTATACCATTACACTAATAACAGCACAGTCAAGAGGAGAGGCGTATGGTAGATACACGTGTTTACATTAAAATTTCATGTATTCCTCCCGCGAAATTTAGTAGACCTGAACCTCATACTCTGTATTGAATTGTTATACAGGGGTATACGTTTTGGTAATTTATATTTTAAATAGCTTCTTTTTTCTCTCGCTCTTTTCCAAAATAGGCTTGATTATTTCTTACGGTATGATCTGAATTTTTGCAACGAAGTAAATTCACAAGTTCACAGCATGAAGTCTCTTCCAACCGAGTTAATGGTACAGCCCAGTTCATATGACCTGACAAACTGTCAGCGCTTGTGACGATACTTATCGTATAATGATACCGGTAACAGGACTTCGGCAATGTTGTCTAGACTGCGTCGGTCATATTGATGACCTACTTTTGGTCAAGTTATAAAGATTTATAGACCTTGTGTTGGTATTGCCGGCGGGTGGCAGCAGATTTATCCCGATCACTCTCTGCCAGGGCTCAGGGGATGTCGGCAATACTTCATCGTTTTTTTTATGACCTGAGTGACAGCTGCCGTGCCTAATATCCAAGAAGGCACCGTGGTTGCACAAGCGCCTATACTTGTGAATACAACATTTTTCTGTATTAGTTACAGGGTAGGTATCTATGTATAATTATAAGTAAAACTTCCTAACAAATTTGGCGACTTTTAGCAACACTAAAAATTTAGCTAACAGGGAAATTGATGTGAATTTGTTAAAAAAAATGTAATTTCATGTTGATATGACCGCGGTGTTGTAAATTTCACGACTTGATACCAGACGAACATAATTATTCTTGCACTTACAGCTGTGATATGTGATGATAGTACAGGGTATGATAGCGTTAGGCATCATCCTGCTGCTTGGACCTAAAAACATTCGTCGCACAACACTATCCAGTAGACGATATTGTGAGAGGAAAAATAAAATGCAAATGTTTGATTATGTGTATGTACTGTATGGGAGGAAGTCGTTTTAACACCCACGAGAATGACGGGGTGGTCTTAAACTTATTATAAAATGAAAGAGAAACAAAGGCAATAGTGATATAAAACTCTCTCTTTCACTTCCCTCTTTAAGAATAGCTCAACACCTTTAAATCATCATTTACATCAGGTGAAGCTGGAGATCCTAGACACATTCAAAGATCATACAGAGCGCGCGTATATTACTTGACTGGAGCACCTTAAGTACCAGAGCATCAAGGAGGCGAATAATAATAAAAAAAAAATGTGCTTATGAAATTGCCAAACTAATTGTCTTTAAGAGATTGAGAATAACCCCCACTTACTTACGACTGGACAGACATAGACAAAGCTTATACGTACGTACTGTATATGTCCCTTAAACATTCGTGGTTGGGCGTAACAATAGGAGGTAAAAGCAATGATCCTTCTGTAAATATATTTTTGTATTTGGGAAAGGAAAGAGGGTCGGTGGGAGGCAGGTGTACCCAGTCGTTGCAGCTCCCTGAAACATAAAGTCCAGAATACACCTTGCACAGGACACCCAATCAAGTCTTCCTGTATCGCTGACACGTAACTGGTGTTTTATACTGTTCAGTAGTTAAGCCAGTTCTTTAGTAATTCACAAGTTATTTTAGTTGTGTGTGGAAGTCCTAAACCTGACTTTAAAGAAAAATTAGGTATTGTACAGTATAAAGTTTATCATAGTTTTACTGAATTTGTTCAGTAACATTACAATGCAAAATTATACACGAGTATATGTGTTCTTTGCTCTTGTCCTGGACCTGAACTCCTGGTCGTCTGTACACCAGTATCAGCTGCCCTAGGACGTGCTTGCGTCAGCTCCCACATGCAGTCTATCACTCACTCATTATTACCACACATATCCTCTGCACATGCACAATCCATTCCACATGAAGTAAGTGTTATAGAAATATAGGTCAAACGAAAGCCTGGGAACCAACTGGTGTAGTTATTAAACACAACGTGCTTGTTTCCATCTATGCTTTAGGCTCGTGCGTGTGCTTTCTACTCATGGATTCCAGTCTCAAGAGTCTAGATATTTAGCTTGAGAAAGTGGTATCATTTAACTCATGACTCAAAAAAAGAAGTTATTGTATTTTCAGTCATATGCATATAAGTAATAGTACAACTGTATTAACTCTTGTACAGCTTTAGTAATCGTGTGGGTTGTCTTGGTGGGATTCTTGGGTGTTGCCAGGGGGAGAATGCTCAATTGCTCATTTGTTCCGTTGTGCACATTTAACGTCAATAACCATAAACTATGATACACAGTTGTTTCCACGAAGATATGCGATCACATAATTTCCAGACATCTGGAAAACATTGAAATACTGTATTTTCTTTGTATCTTGTCAGTTGGTGTTTGTTTGATCTTGCCAACAAGCAACCAAGGCTCAGTGACATGAACTGGAGTATAATCCATTATAAATATTGTACTTACTTTAGTTGTGTAGTGGAGGCAAAATGTATATTTTCTTGGGGATGAAATGTTATCTGCATCCAGTTCATCACTAAGGCGGATGATTAAAAAAAAGGCCAAATCCCATCACGTTGTCTCACTATGGCAGAGAATTAGTGATTATTGAGAAACTAACCTTGAGCCAGAGATAATGTGTCAAGTGCAATCTCTTGGCCGTTTCAGGAGACAGAGTGACGAGATTTGTTCGAATAATAAACCAGTGTTAGAAAAAGTGCATCGGTAATTTAGTGCTGCCACGTTATAACACAGTACAGTGTACAATATAAAATTTGAGAGGAGTGTTGTAATTTGCTGAAGATAATGAACTGCCTTGTAGGTGTGATTTAATTGGTTATATATTATGTTGGCGACTCTTAGTCAACCGCAAATTATTACTGAACAGGTGACATAGAAGTTACCCAAGTTTGTTCTAAACTGTAAAAGGGAAATTGAATAGTATGTGCATGAGCAACGTGATTGGATTAATTTGCCTACTTTTTATTGCATTAACATTTACCATACATGCACTACCCACTTTATAGAATGTCCGAATACTGACTGTGTTTTTGCTTGCAGCCATTGACTTCTTCCAACACATCAACCTGCTGTACGGGACAGTGTGCGAGTATTGCACGATGAGTGGGTGTCCTGACATGACAGCCCCCACCACGCGGCAGTACCTGTGGTTTGATGAAAAGGGAAAGAAGACGCGAGTTGCAGCACCCCAATATGTTGACTACGTTATGACCTTCACCCAGAAGACCATCAACGATGAATCAATCTTCCCCACTAAGTTTGGTAATTACTCCAAATACTCTCCACAGTGTTATACAGAAAAATGCTTAACATTTTACATCACTACCTGCAGTTGGATTTTCCTTGTTATGCCACATTTTTGATGATTAGTGTTGAGATAGGTTTCAAATTCATTATGTAGGTCTTGAACCTGACACATTGTGCACAAGTCAGTGACATTAACATCGATATTGCTGTCCTCCACTTGAGAGTAGAATATCCTATCAACCATTTTATGAGGAGGTTTTCAGTATTGTATCTATTCATGAAAGATCCAGCATTTATATTGTTTTTATTAATTTAACAGCTGACTTTTTGTGTGGTAGTCACATACTGGATGCTGCCTCTAATAATATTTAGATACAATGAATGTTACCTTTGTTTTTCATTAACTACATATACAGTATTCATATTGTGTAAAGATACTGCACTGTATATAACTGTACCTATACCATCTTTTATAATCTAGGACAAGTCAAGGACAGCCACACAGAACCTACACTACAAACCTCTGACAATGAGGAATTTTTTGTAACTGTCCTATGGGTTCTTAATCACGTGCGATTTTTAAAGTATTGTCGTATTTTATTTTATTTGTATTTTTACACTTCTTAAACTTATTTTATTTATATCATATCATAGTTTTTAACTCATGATTTTCTTCATTGTCAGAGATCACTAGTTAGGTCCACAACTTTAGTCCCAGAGTGTACAGTACCACATAAATGGATAATGAATTCCTCTAAGCATGTATATTTTTTTCTATACTAATACATTTGGATCACCATATAGTAGGGTTGCACCGATTAATCGGTATCAGCAAGCAGATAGTATTGGCATTTTACCGATTAATCAATATCGATAAGGTTAGTATCTACCGATACTGGTACTGTACATAAAGTATTTGCTCTGTAAGTCAGGGGGAAATAAGAATTATTATGACCATGCTTAGCTAAACTTCAAATTTGTCAGTAATACTGAACAGCTCTAACATATAAGTTGTAGCATATTATTGTCAGTTCAGCACCTTACTTAGCAGATATTCTTCCTTTAATATATGTATACACTAACTTTCACCTATATGCAGTCGTAATCAATTCCAATAATTAGTTTTAATCCTTGGACGACAGGAGATTGATGCCAAGCGGACATTTTTAGTCTATATTTTCTATTGTGATCATACAGTATGTTGCTGTGAGTTCTGACATAGTCTTCTCTGATATTTAATGTGCAATACACATGGATACATAAAGGTATACGAGATGATGTACCTTTGTCATAATTTCAGTTTAACTCATCTTCAAACAGAAATATTGAGTTTATCTTACAACAGGTGTTGATTATAGTGAAACAAGATAATGATTAACACAAAAGCCAACCATATATTTACAATAACAATCTCCATAGTAAGGATAGTTAGACGTTTCCTCCTATAAGACCAGATTAGAGTAAAAGATTATACTTCAGACTGGAATAAGTATATACCGGTAAGGAGTATCGGTAAAAATGGGTATCGGTGCATCCCTGTCATATAAATATTTAATACAAGTACCTATGTGCATTGCAGTGTAATACTGTTTACAGTACTGTACATACTTCAGTACCTTCACTGTTATGTATAGCACAATAATTTTTGTAACACATACAGAACATTCGTATTTTTATGTGAATTATTTGCTCATACTCATATATGTTGGGCTCATAAACCAAAAAGTGACCAAAGCGTGTTGTGGTTGTTTTCAAAATACTGTAACCAGGAAGTGAAATTTTGCATTTAGATTTTACCCTAACCTAACCTGTACCAAATCTCACTTATGGTTATTTTAAAAACAACCACAACGTGTTTGTACTGTATGTGCTCTACTTATCTGCCTTGTCTATTTTTTCAATTTTCTTCCTTGTATACATAACTTCTTTCATACATTTATTCTTTCATAAATTACTTCTTTTATACATTTCTTCTTTCATATATTAATACTGTACTGTACTTTTAAATATTACTTCATTCGTTCATGAATTTTTTCATGCATTAATTCATTATTTCATGCTTTAATTCTTTCATACATTCATTCATATATTACCTCTTTCTTTTATTAATTCTTTCATACATTACTGTACTTTGTTCATACATTAATTCTTTTATGTATATTACCTCTTCCTTACATTATCTCTTTCATGCAATGCATTTCCTGCATTAGCTACTTCTCCCCTATACTCTGTATTACTTCTTACATGCTACTTCTTTCACTGCTTCTCAGTGCAGCGTATCTTTCAAATATTACTTCTTTCACATATTTTTCATATTTTTTTTAATAATTTACCTCACACTTACATTATTAGTTTCGATGTTTTATTTTCCATGTTCTTTTATTTTTCCATTCACATTATTTCCATTACAGACACTTGTTTATCATTATGATATGTTCAATTTAAATTTAACTAAAGCCCTATTAAGCAACTCTTAAAGATACCGTACTGTACTACAGTACTGTACTTTACCTACTGTATTTTCTTAAGTCTCAGTCTTATCTCCTTATAGCTTGCACCTTAAGTTAATAAATTTATGTGTTTAATTCTTCCTGTAAAATTATATTAAACAGTATAAGGTTTTGTATTTCCAAAAATTACATAATTGCATATTTTTTATTTTCTCTATACAGTACATGTATTTATAAGCACACTGTACTTATACAAATTTTATATTTCAGAAAACGACTTTCCAGTATCCTTCGAGTCTATTGTAAAGAAAATCCACCGGTTGCTGTTCCATGTGCTGGCCCACCTGTATCACAGCCACTTCCGTGAGATGGTGCTGCTTAACCTGCATGCCCATCTTAATTGTATTTTTGCGCACTTCATTCTCTTCAACGACCGCTTCAGACTCATTGAAGATAAGGAGACGGAGATCTTACACGATCTTGTTGTAGCCCTCAAGCTTCACCCAGAGAGTGAACCATCCACCTCTTCTTCCAGTTCCACAACCTCAACAACCACCACCACTGCAACAAGCTGTAGTCAAGTAGGAGGTCCTGACTGTAGTGCTAGTCCAAATACGAGCAGCAGTAATACAACTACTACAGCTGCAACGTATAGCACTTTATCATTAGAGGGAGACTGTGGTAACTGTTCAACCCCTCAGGAGCAACAGTTGTCGTACCCGGCAGACATCACCACAGTCACCAACAATAGCAGTAGTGGAGTAACACCAGCAACAGGAGATGCGGCGGCAGGAGGGTCTGGGCCCCCACTCCTGGATACAGAAGCAGCGCCAGACACACGGCCATAGTAATCCCTCGAGCTAGTGAACCAATGTATGCGGGTACCCTGGCCTGGCCCCCGCCCCATGCCCCATTCCCTGTGTGGGTGGCGGGCACACACTGGTGCAGCACCTTAGCCTTATCCATGTGTGATGGTGTCATCTACAGGAGGTGGAGAGGCCAGGCGGGGGTTCCTAGGAATATGTTGTGTACATATGTGTTGTAAAGTCCTTAGATCATAACTATTGCTATACAAATACTATTTATATTTATCCTGCGTTATCACATGAGCACACATTCACCATAAAGTGCATTGTTTTCACCTCGACTCGTGGAGAGCAAGTCAGAAAAGGTGAACACATGGCCATCAGCAAGCTTTTAAGTAGATGCAAAATGATTGTCAAGAAGAGTTTGGATGCAAACTTTTTTCTTGTGATTTTAGTGAAGTACGACAAAAAAAATATTTTTATTATCAAGTTGGTTTGGTTTGTCAGCTAAAACACAATGGTGTTTGGTTCATGTTCAGGTGCTTGGCAGGGAATTATTTCTCAAAACTGCACTGATAAGTTTTGTGATATTAAAAGAAAATTTCCAGCCAAGTTTCAATTTTCTCTTGTTATGTAAGTAGGCTTCTTAAGTCCTTACTAGTCGACATGTGATGTGTTTCCTGTTAGTTTTCCATATGCAGTACAAACTTCCCCAAGAAATGTTTTAGTTCTCTTACTTTCCTTTGTATTGTTATTTGAATTTGGTTTACACTGAGCACAGAAGCATTTATGTTTTATTAGTTACCAGTACACATATACGTTACTTCATTTTCAGTGATAAGCACATAATTCCTTTGTATTAACCATTTCTTAGGTATTAAGAGAGGTTTGATGTACCTTTCTTTATTAAATATGTACTTAATTATAAAATGAGAAAGGGGTTGATCATAAGGAAATTATGTTCAATGAACAAAACCTGCTAATAATTACCTCAGCAAATGTGAAGCATAAGACACTGTACTGGTTAGCTTTAGCAGTTCTAGAAGAGTCATGCATATTCTGAGTAACAATAGTATCTTCCCAAATAGATAGATAATTAAAGACAATAGGTCGCTTATCAGCGTAAAATGCGTCTGTTACACTGCAACTCCAGAGGTGGTCATGTTTGTGTGTGGGCCCGTGTATGGTAGTATCCAAGATATTTTAACTAGAATGTTGTAGGAAAGGGGAGTGTGATAGTATTTATGCTTCTTCAGTACATGTCTATAAAAGTGACATAAACATGACCACCGGGGAACTGAAGGCAATAAGGCCTCATACCTTATAAAAAAATATATGGTTTATTTGTGATTTCATCAAAATATAGACATTTACTGTATTTCACAATTTCTTTTGTAAATATTTTATTTACCAAAACACTTGTATCAAATGTCCTATGATTTTGTTGGTAATATTAAGAATTCTAATTTCTGAAAGTCCCCCTGGAGGTACAGTGGCACCGAGCACGACCTGGTAATCTTTTACTATCCCAACCTTCCTTTACTTCCCATAATTAAACTGCTCCTAGACCAGGCTGTTGCAGGGAATTTATTTGTCCTAGTGAATTATGTACTGTGTAATTATTTATTTTTATCTTGTTTGATAGCTTGAGATCAATTCTAATCAAGATAGATCTTGCAGGTAAGGATTGCTGGAGTGATATGCTGAATATATTAGAATGTATATGCTGATGTTGTTTGCCTAGTGAAATATTATCATTGATGACAGGTATATTCCTTTATCAGTTTGACTGAGATGTATATAATGCAGAGTTGTTATGGTGATCCTAGTGGTAAGAAGAGTCACAACCCTGGCGTGAATATTGTATGTGAGCCCCAATATTAGTGTGCTTTATAAGCCCAGGGCAGCTCACAGCTCTTATGCATCTTGCTATGGAAAGACAGCCAGCATATCATACACTGTGAATCTGTCTTTTACAGCTTCCCAGAGCAATGTTAGCAGAAGAAACGTCTGTTGTTGCAGATTGTGATAGGTGAGGCAAGTTGTGACGGTGACTTGTGGCAAGCCTGAGGAGGCAGCAGCATTAGTGGCAGAGCCACTAAGGCACACACACACTCACCACCTTAGGCTTCACCTTGCTAAGCTTTATGACTCAGGATTGGACTTCCCAAAGTTTAGTTTATTGCCAAAATTGTGGCACTAAATCTATTAAACAAAATATTAGAGGTAAAAGTAAGCTGTACTTGCTCCTCCTTCAACTTCATGGTAAAATCCCTATAGCCCAGATATTGATGCATTCTCTAGAATCCTGTGTTCTTATGATGATGATGATGTTTATTGTCTTTCATCTTCATGGTACAGCTCTTTGTTGGAACTGTTAACAGATTCATATAATTTGGTCTTGATAGTGGTGATGAAAGAACCAGTTTCAGACCTACATGCCTTCCTAGACTTTCTGTCTTAGTTACCGATTTTACTGGTAAAAGCAGTGTGGCTTTTCAATTTGAGTGAATCAATGGCATTGTCACTATTGCTATACATTGCAGTTGACAAGCATTTTACTTGTTTTCTGACTTCCTCGTGATATGTATGGAGTGTGTGGAAAGATATGAAGTGGGTGATGGTGTCGGGTGATGGCCTGGGCACTACAGTCATGTATCCTGTAGCTGTGGTAGTTATGGTTGTGTAGCATTGAGAGTTAGGGGAGTCTAAGCTGTCACCCACACCAATAGCAGACCAAAACTAGTCCTGCCACCCTAGTGAGTGAGCCAATCTCTTTTCTGCCATGTGTTATACGTCCCACATTATGGCCTCCCCCCACCAACACATTGAGCAGCAGGCATTTGTGCGTGTGTGTGGCTGCTGCAGTCCTCACGTCTTCATCAGCTTAGTGCACCAGTGAAAATTTGACTACATTCAAAGGTGTGAAACCCTCTGGGTAGAAGGTCTTTTGAGTTAAAACATAGGGCATTATTGATTGTTATAGGTGTAACTAGACAGCTGGCATTCCATATTTACACATAACTGCTTCCTGTTGCTCTTCGGGCTACAGGGTCTTGTAGTCCTGGGGTGGGTGGAATATAATGATTTGGATATGTCACTTGATCCTTGAGCTTTAAGGGCAAAGGTGAAATACTGTATGCGATTATGGGATGGGTTGGGGGAGGGTATAGGGTGGGTTTGGGTAGGATTTGGGATAGGGGTGAGGGGGAGGCTGATAAGGGTCACGCCTGAAGCACTTGTAGAGAACGGCGCGCGTGTGTCAGTTATTCCTTGTGATACTCTTGATCCTCTATGATCAGCTTAATGAGACAGGAAATGTTTTAAGGAATAATTATTATTGCAAAAATAATAAAAATAATTTGCACTGAGCAGACTTTTAATATCCTTCCCATGTTGATTCAAAGTTATGTGTACAGCTTACATGTAATGAATGGTATTGCCTAATGGAACAGGGCTGTATCCAGACCTCAAATTTGACCAATGCAATCATTCAGTACTGTTTTTGTAGTTGCAGCTCAGATTTTAAAAAGTTATGAAATTTTTCATCTCATTCTGTAATGCTATGTTTTAAGCCAATAATTAACTAATATTTACTTGGATAAATATATGTTTAGCCAGATATTTTAAGTCTGTATTTCGTCATAAAATATATGAAGTACGACTGTATATACCTACAGTTTCATTGATTTACACAATGCTTATACAATATACCTAGGTAGTAGGCAGTTATCAAACAGGGAGATACTACTGCCTGGGAAGATATTGGAAGCAGAATGTGTTGTCTAATGGTAAACCCTACTGCCATATGGCATCACAAAAATTGTGACCCAAGTCCCAAGTTGCTGATCTGACTGTCTCATTTACACAATTGCAGGGTCTCAATATTTCTCTTACTCTGACAACACAACATATTGTATAGTACAGGTGCCCCTCTACTTACGAACGAGTTACGTTTCTGAGGCTTGTTTGTAAGTCCAACTTTACTCTTGTAGATACCAAACATATTTTTAAAAATGAAAGGATTATGGATATTTAGTACAGCTATACCCTTTAATACAGCCTTAAACCCTGGCTCAATCTTCTCCTCTTAGTTAATATTTGTTCTATCTGGAATTTTCTTCAAAATAATCCAGCCTCAACCACATTAAACACCTGTTCTGGCAGGTAACCCCCCTCAGTGATGATGTTTGTATCTCTGAAAGTTGGTAAGTTGAATGTTCTTAAGTCGAGGAGCACCTGTACAGGGTATATGTCATTTATCACTCTTGATCTGTTTTATTTATTCTATTCCTATATTCACCTATGATATCAGTTGACAATAATATTAAAGCCTGGCCTTCTCGGATGGGTCCCACTGGCCAGGAAGATTGTTGATCCCAGGGCCGACCTGACCATCAAGAATTACAATACTGGGGCCTCAACTGACGTCACCACAGTTGCTGGAGGATCAGGTCTTTTTCTTACTTCATTTTTTAAAATTTGTGGCCAGATTTAAAAAAAAATCGGGGGCTTACAGAGCAGCCCCCCCCCACCCAAATACCCCCTAACTGGGTGGGCTCGCTGTACTCATGTCTCCCCCTACAATTTCTTGGACCCCTCTTTTGATACTTCTGGATCTGCCCTGTGTTCCCCTAATCTCTTACTATCTGAACTTCAACTGGTTAAGGCAACTTCAACAAAACATTTTCAAGTCTCCAACTTCAACCTTTATACCTCTCCGTTCTAAAGGAGGTGTATGCATCTACTGCAACACACATACCCCTATAACTTGACTCATAGATCTTGAATCTTCTCTTTATGATGTTATCTGACTAAAAATATTTCTACCAACTATGACTATTATCCTTGTTTCCTATACTGTACTGTTCTCCCATCTCTACCAACTATATGGAACTTTTTTACTATCTCACTTCTTGCCATGAATTGTTGCTATTCACACACCCCCAATACCAAGATCCTCTACATAGGGGATTTAAATGAACAGTCGCTCAAAAATGTTGTTCATGACAATATTGGCCAAATGCAAGAATTGCCGTGGTGTACACGATGCTGTGGTATCCCGGTGTAGCAGTTAAAAGTGACGCTTTAGGTAAAAATGAAGTGCAAGACGTACGACTCATTCGGACAGCGGTCAATTGGCATTGGTCTGCAGTCAGCCTCAATTGAAGTCAGTTCTGCTTAGATGATGGACATGCATTTCTATGACACGTACGTGCTTATACGTTTGGTAAATCATTTTATTTTAATTCAGTTTAGTGAGTGTTACCTCAAGGTCAGAATGTTGTGTGGATGATATTATATTAATACAGTTTAATGAGTGTACTCACTACTGTACTCACCCCTGAAAATGTGAATTACACAAAAGTGCTTGGGAACTTTGTGTGAGATCAAGTCCACAATGGTCAGGTATTAGGTAATGACCCTACTAATCTTTAAATAGCACGGCAACGGTCGGTAGTCAGGTCAGAGGGTAAGGTGACCCAACCTTCTCACCTGGTTACAAATCTTCTTAATTACAAAATTGTCCAGTTTGTACATGCCATTGCTCAAATTCATGTTGAATGCTTCGGTACGTTTAATGAGACTAGATTCTATGATGTTCCCTGCATATGCATATATATATATATATATATATATATATATATATATATATATATATATATATATATATATATATATATATATATATATATATATATATATATATATATATATATATATATATATATATATATAATTGGTAAGTTTGCTAAGTCACTATTATATATATATATATATATATATATATATATATATATATATATATATATATGTATATATATATATATATATATATATATATATATATATATATATATATATATATATATATATATATATATATATATATATATATATATATATATATATATATATATATATATATATATATATATATATATATATATATATATATATATATATATATATATATATATATATATATTTTTTTTTTTACATCCTCATCGTTCGTGACTTAGCCTTCAGCAAACTTACCAATTATTTAATCAAAATTAACTGTCTTGGCACATTCATTTTCGATAGAAATCATAGCTAGGCTGTTCAATCTTGTCTGAGTCATGCTAGAACGAAGATAATTCTTGAGATTCAGTTTAGAGAAACTTCTTTTGCATGACACAACAGACACACATATTGTTAAAAAGAATCTCAGGCACAATGACAAGTTTGGCAAGGTTTCACAAAAGTCCCATTTGACAATAAACTTCAGGAACTGCAAGACTGTCCATTTATTTGCTTCTTCAGGTGTGATTTTGGCAGCCTCCATGTGTCTGCGAAGCCGCATAATTTCTATCATGACATCCTCATCAGAAATTTCATTAAAAATCTTGGTCATGCTTGAATTTGAAATACTCCCCTGAAGTTGTTCTTCTTTTGCAGAAAGCAAGTAGCTTGGCTGAATAGCTGCAAATATTGACAAGATGTTATCCATGGCCTCTGAACGAGCATCCAATTCTAGACTAAATCGATCTAAGCATTCAAACATTGATCTCCTCATTTCCTCTTGCATTGTCAGTCCTGCATCCCTAGCCATCTCTCCTGGCATCATTTTCTTACGTCTTATCCTCCCTCTTGTTTCCATGGAGATGCCCATTTCTTCACATTGTGTAGTTGCATATTGAATCGCTCTCTCCACAATTTCATTCCGCTGACCTCGAAGAAACAATTTCAAACCATTGAGCTTTACAGTGCACTTTTCAAGACTTATTCCTTCTGTTTGCAAATACTTCTGTGTGAGATTCACTTCTTCCAGTACATCACACCAAAAAGAAAGATGACCCAAAAAATAAAAATCACATACAGCTTTAAGGAAAACTTCAACTGATCCTCTTGTGTCAACATTTTCTCTTTGATCCGTCAATGTTTCTAGGGCTATGATCAGCTTCTCAAATTGTTTCTTGAGAGGCTTTATGGCATCATGAGGTGCACTCCATCTAGTCTGAGAAAGTCTTTTGACTGTCAGGTTCATATTTTCTTTTAGTACTCCCCATCGGTGAGTTGAAAGTGAAAAAAAGCAATAAAGTTTCTCTACAGTTCCAAAGAATGTTACACATAAAGGATTGGTTCCAAAAGAGTGTACCCCACAAAGGTTCAAGGAATGATTGGCACAAGGTACAAACAAAACCTTTGGATTTATTTCTTTGATTTTCTTCTGAACACCTCCATGAATACCAGCCATAGTTGCAGCATTATCATATCCTTGAATGCGGCAAAAGTTAATGTCCAGTCCATCACTCTCCAAATTACTCAGGATATCCTTTGTGAGCTCATTTGCAGTTTTTCCAGCAATAGGAAAGAAACCCAAGAAAGATTCCCTTACTTCAACAGAATCACCTTCAATATGAACATATATGTAACCACTTCGGACATCTGATCTGTATGAGAAATATCAGGTGTACTGTCAAAAAGAATTCCAAAATACTTGGCCTTCTTGATGTCAGCCAAAAATTTTTCCTTAACATTATTTCCTAGAACAGATGAATTCATTCTGAATATTTGGTGACAAATAAGAGCTCACTCTCCTTCCAGATGTCTGAGATGGAATAGCATGCTTAACCTCCAAAAGATGTTCTTTCAAAACATATCCTCCCTATGACCACGAAAAGGAAGGTTCTGTCGAGCTAGAAACATTGTCACATCCAAAAGACGATAAAGTATGTCCCTCCATTTCTTCCTCTCTCTGTCCATTGCAGCTTGATTGCCATGATCAACAGTTCTTTTAAGCTTTAGTCCTGCCTCATGGCACCCCCCTCTGGTTGTCACCCGGGGAGGACCGCCCCCCCCCCTCAGTACGCCACTGTTTGTGTGTTTAGATCGGTTATGACCTTCATTTCCGTCAGAAATTGGCAGGGTTTTTTTTTAGATTTTTTTTTGGCGAGGCGTTTTCCGAAAAAAAATAATGGCTAGGCGAATGCAAAATACACACAAAAAAAACCGAGAAAAACATAAACCTAACCTAACTGACTCTCACCATTTGATAGAATCACTTATTTCTTACCTTATTGGCCGTCTCTTTTTTTGTCTTTGGGATAAGGGACGAGTTACCACAATGCCACACATGTTGGTCTTGACGACATTTACATCCGTTCTTGCACTTAAGACACTTTACTGAATGTCGGGAGAACACCACGAGATCGAAAAAATGCTATGTTTCTTCGTTTTTTTCCACAAAACAAGCAATCGGCTTCAAATAATTTAAGTGACACCCATCGCAAACTTCTATGGTCGGAAGCAGGGTTGCCAACTCGGATTTTCAAATGTCGCTAGGCTGGTACCTAAAAGTAGCTAAATGTCGCTAAATCTTCCATGGAAAGTCGCTAGCTATTATTCCCCCCCTTCAGTAATTTGATGCAAATAATATTTTCATAATGCCGACTATAATGGACGGAGTATAAGAAAATGCATTCTGTAAAAATATCATTTTTCAGATTTTCTGAGAAATGTGGCGCAAGAATATTGCATATTATCCCAGAACACTTTGATCTTTTTAACCTGAGTTCACTGCCTGCCTTGCTGTCACTAAAACATACTTTACACACTTCACTTAAGTGTTCTACCACACGAATAGAACAATGTTCAGCTACAAACATGGCCAGAGTTCCCTCCACTTTTTTTGCTTCACCAAGTTTCTTGAATGGTAAAATTGTCTCTTTCTGCACTAAACGGCTATTCTGCTTTCTTGTGTTTTTTAGTGTTTTTGTGTTTTTCAATGTCGCACAACTTAGCAGACAAAGTACACTTGTAAAATTTACAAAATCCTTTTTTATTATCTCCTGGCACCTCCAGAAGCCAATTTTTGTATCTGTCATCTCTGAGCCATTCCTTCCTAAATCGCTGCGAATACTGTGGCTTACCCATTTTCTATTGGGACTATGAAGGGTTCAAATTAATAAACAGCATGCAAACAAGCGGAAACTTTCCTTGATGGTTTTTGGCAAAGCGGGTGAACAGTGTCGGGGCAACTGTATGGAGTCTATGGGTCACCCATGGTGGACGCGGATGAGAAGTTTGGAACCACGCAGGCTTGATAGAATTAATTCTATAAGATGTTTTGCTAATATTCTTTAAAATTTAGCGTATTAATGAAATTCATATTGCATATCTGACAAAGAGGTAAGTTACCCAGGTGCTACAAAGGCGAAGGTAATAGACAAATAAATGACGACACGGCAACATTAGCCATGGACGGGCTGACATCAAGTAGACGTGTCCCTCCTTCTGTACCACGACCCGTTCAAATGTATTAAACTTTTCTTATTATTTATTGTCCCTGTAACCCCGTTGCTATATATTATGGCTCGAAATTAGGAAAACTGAGTTTTCATGGACAGTCCAAAAGTATCCAGAAAGTCGCTAGATTTCTGTGGATATCTCTAGATTTGCGACAAGTCTCAAATCGCTCTAAAATGTCGCTAGAAAAAAACAAAAAGCTCTAGATCTAGCTACAAAGTCGTTAAGTTGGCAACTCTGGTCGGAAATGAATTTGAATTTCGAAACATGAGACCCCCCCAAAAAAAAATCGAATTTGATTGGAACAAAATTTTGCGAATTAAACCACAAATCATTTTAATTGGTTGCCATAAAAAAATTGCTTTTGATTGGCCCAGTGTGGAAGGTGAGGTAGGCGATAATGGCGGAAGATTGTTAGAAAATAGAGACAATTTTGGATACTCTATCTCCGTTATTATACATTTGCAACGGCAATGTAATATAAGAAATTTTTCTTAAAATTAGACGTCTTATTTGAATGTGGTAATAATTAGGGGTAGGCATGTGGTGCGGAAATACAATACCCCCTAAAAATAACGGGTTCCTAAAATAAATGTTAAGATGTATATAAATACACCGTTAAAATGTATTGGCAAATAAGGCAGTAACCATCTAATTAACCTCTGGAAAATGTTAATGTTTGGCTCCCCTGAAGATTCATCCCCAGCTTAATTCAGCTGAAGATCAATTTAACCGTAGCCAATCTACGTATTACAATGTGCTGGTGAATCTTTTTCTTTTTCAGATGAAGGAATGACTACAGATCCAACTACAGTACAAAACCCTCTGTTATTGGTGTGGTGCAGTATGTGGTCAGTGTGGTGCAGTATGAGGTCATAAGTGAAGTGTGGTGCAGTATTTTTTTTTACGGGGATTAGCACACCCAGGCACAGGTCACTGACCCACATCGGGGCCTGGGGGGGGGTCGAAAATGTAATAATAATAATTAATTATTCATAGTAAATAAAATTTATAATAAAAGAAAAACAAATTTTAAAATAATAATAATAATAATAATAATAATAATAATAATAATAATAATAATAATAAAGAACCATAAAGAAATACAAAATTGAAAAAAATCAAAAGTAAGATACAATATACTGTATCTACAGTAGGGGGCAATGAAATTTTGCTCAAAGCTGCACTCTTCAGGCATTGTTCCTTATACATATCTAAGACTCCATGCCAAATTTGAAGCTGATATGTCGAGGTTTAGTCTGCCGCATTTTCTACTGAAATTTTTAAATTTACCTACAGTACTAGCCAAACATAGATATATGGTAGCTGGAGATATTCCTTATGTTGAGGATAATTCAGATGATTCAAGAGATATTCCTCTCGTCAATACTGATGCTGATTTTGTCCCTGATCCAAGGGCTCTGACAGACACCAGTTCACAGAACCGGACAAGACTCCCTACACTGGCTGCCGCTTGTGACCGATACTTGATTAGTGATTATGCTGGAGCTGCCATTGCTACTGCCACCTTAACTGACTATGGCATTATCACAAAGGATGACAAGAGTCAGGTTATTGGACCACATAAGCTGCGGGATGCGAGACAAAAATACCGATTTAAGAGGCAAGAAATTGAGATGGCTAGTTTAGATAATTTGACGTCACTCTATTTTGATGGTAAGAAGACCGCCACTCGTGTGATGATAAAGAATGAGAAGACCGAGAAATGGAGTTCGAGGATAATGGTGAAAGATCATTATGTCATCATGGTTGAGCCTGGCAATGAATATCTCACACATGTGACTCCCAAGACTGGACACGGAAAGCAGATTGCCAAAACTATTCACGAGTTTCTGGTGGAGAAAAATCTAACCCAGCAGCCCATTGTGTGTGTTGGTTGTATGGAACCAATGTAAATGTAGGATCAGAAAATGGAGTCATTCATCATCTTGAAATGTTACTTGGTCACCCGCTCCATTATTTCATATGTCAGCTTCACGGAAATGAGCTGCCTTTCCGCGCAGTTTTTTATCACTATGATGGTAAACCAAGTGGTCCTGAGCATTGGCGTGGTCCCATTGGAAAGCAGATCAAGGAGTCTTTGTCTGAGCTTCCAGTTGTCGCCTTCCAGCCAGTCAGTTTCCCTGATTTCCCTGTGTTTAATGATGAAGTGGAGAAAGATCTGTCCTGGGATCAGAAATACCTGTATAGGATTTGTAAAGGAGTTATCACAGGTGTTGTTGAAGATGACTTGGCTGCTATTGAGCCAGGTCCTCCCTGTGTGTCAAGGTGGAACACCTTATGGAGTAGAATCCTCAGGCTGTATGTAGCAACATCAAGACCCAGCCATGAGTTGAAAAGAATTGTCATTACAATAATAAAGTTCAGTGCTCCAATGTGGTTTTACATCAAGATACACCCTTACGTAACACACGGCTCAAGGAACGTATTCCAGTCCCTGCTATATATGAAACACCTGAATAGTGAGGAGGAGACGATAGTGAAGAAGGCTGTCCAGAGAAATGCATACTTCGCCCACACAGATCAACTTCTTCTTGGTATGTGTGCAGATGAGGACATGACTGTTAGAGAAAAAGCTGTCTCAATGATAAGAAAAATTAGAGAGGAGAATCAGCAAAAGGAAGAATGCACTGGCAGATCTGAAGAGGAGGAGGAAGATTCTGATGCTGCTGTTGACGAGAATTTGTTAAACTATACTGATGAGGAGGGTAAAGATGGAGATGGGAATGAGGATGTGCCTCCTGTAGTCAACATGAGAAAGGTGGTGACTCCGAAACTAAAGTGGCAAGCAAAAAACTATCATTCCATGATTAACTGGAGGAATGAACTCAAGACTGAGCCTCCTTACATTGCTTCTCTGTCAAATCTACAGGTTAATGACATTCTTGAGACACCATTAGTGGTGCCCAAGTGGCCAAACAGCACTCAGGCGGTCGAGAGAGGCATAAAAGTGATGACTGAAGCTTGCACTGAAGTGACGGGATACGAATCGAGAGATGGATATATTAGGCAAAGATTATTGTCTAGGAAAATGATGCTAAGGTTTCGCACAAAAAAGAATTTCAATATGAACTTGTAATGATTTTCTATACGGTGTACCTGTAAAATAACATATGAATTAAATCGATGTCACCCATGTAAAATTTATCATTATCCTGGAAAACATTAAATGACACCTAATTTTTGGTATACACTAAAAGTTGACAAAAAGTCGTTCGCGATGCGGCAGGGTAAGTATGCATGAAATGGCATGAAATTTTGCACAGGTGTTTGTTACAGCCATACAAATGATGCCTGAAAAGTGCAGCCTGCAACTCAAATAAAAGTGTTTTTTCCCTGCCCCCTAATCTACAGTATGTTATGTTGTTAATAGTAAGAGAAACAATTGAGACCCTGCAATTGTGTGTAAATGAGGCAAAAAGTCAGATCAGCAATTTGGGACTTGGTCAAAAAAATTTTGATGCCTAATGGCAGCAGGGTCTACTATTAGACAACACATTATGCTTCCAATATCTTCCCAGGCGGTAGTACCTCCCTGTTTGGTAGCTGCCTACTACCTATAGTATGTGGAGACAACAGACCACGAGTGAGAGGTGAAGCTTCTCGCACTACACAGCAGTATTCCTCGAGGTACTTTAACGTTTTGTGTGAAGGTGTGGGAGGGTGTAGCCTGCTATGGTGTCATTTAATGTTTTGTGAGGGTGTGTGGGTGGGTGTGGCTTGTTGTGAGGTCATTTAACGTATTGTGAGGGTGTGGGGTGTTACATATTGGTTGGGAGGACTGTGGTGGTGTATGGGATAGGGTTGTGTGTTCCCATAAGAAGGAATTGTACAAGAGGTGGGCAGGTGGTTGTGGTTAAGTTTGTCATTCAAACCGAGTGTAACCAAGCTGTCAAGGGGGACATTTAAGGGGCATGGGGGGGGGGGGAAGGTCTAATAAGTGAGCTGTAGTAAACCTTGTGTATAGTGCATGAAGCAGTGTAGAGATGTGTACTACAGTATAATGTAGCAGTACTTTATTGTTGTTGGTGAAAAGTATTTTGTTTTGTTTTACTTTTATCCTCTTCACCACTGATCGGCTCGTTAGCCGCTTGGGCGATCAGTCACGTCTCTGTTACGCACTGTTGGCAAGTACTGGGCATACACCGGCTCCTTAATGTACAGTACCTGAACCTGCTCCAGTGTTGGTCAAGTCTTGTTTTAAAAGAGCTCACTCTCGGTGCCGTCAAACACTTTCTGGTAGATTGTTCCAAGAGTTCACAACTCTCATTCTGAAAAAGTTTGCCCTCACAGTTTTCTGGAATTGCGGCTTCTTCAATCTTGAGCTGTGACCCCTTGTGGGGCGAGCGTCCACCAGCTCCAAGTAAGGACACTCGACTGAGTAGTGCCCCTTGAGATGCTAAAGTCTTCCAATTTTCATTTTTCACTGTCAATACAACAGTTATACATTACCAAATATTGTGCTCTCCGGAAAAAAAATACATATTGTATAATACTATTTTTTGTTGGTTTACTTTAGCTAAAAGTACTCAAGTGTGCCATTTTCACCCTTACTGTAAGTTACACACTGACCTATCTTAGATGAACATCATCTTTGACTGTCTAATGGGTTTAGTCTAATATTCGTACTACATTGTTATTATCAATATCAATAGTAGTAATATAGTTGTAATATTAGCAATAGTGGAAGTATTAGCAGTAGCAGCAGTGGGGGCTAAGGTGTAGCTATAAGGGGAGGTTGGAGGCCATAATACGAAAAAAAGGGTATTACTGTAATAATAGTAGCAGTAGTGTTGTAGTGGAATCCTCCCCTACAAACGCCGTGTGTCGCTGACTGGTCGACCCCCGCGAATCTACCAGCGTATCCCTCGTGGTCAAGGTCAGGTAACCAGCGACGCCGAACAAAATACACACGCTCCCTCAGAAAGCTCTTCGCCCTACAGGAACTCTGAGCAAGCTTCGCCCGACTTAGTATCTCTTTAACACTGTGCTGTGCAACAATATATTGTAGTGGATTCCTCCCCTACAAACGCTTGTCGCTGAGTAGCCGACCCCGCGAATTCCCCAGTGTATGCCTCGTGGTCTAGGTCAACCAGCGCCTCCTTACATGACGGAGGTCAACTATTAAGCCACGCCTACCTCCGCTATATAAGACCTGACCTCGTGGTGACCTGCTCTCTTTTCTACTTACAGCAACCAGCAAGCAACACCTCCTCTTGCCTGGCGGTCCTCGCTCCCGCCGGCGACCATGGCGACCCACAAGCTGTCCTCCTCTGAGCACCCTCACCAACCAGCTCTCTACTCAACGCTTGTAACCACGCTGCCTTCCCAGCACCAAGCTGCATTGTACATCTAATACAATATGTATACAGAGAGCACATTGTGAGTTTGTGGGGTATGGGATGTTTGGGTTCTCGCTCAGGATGGGATGGAGAAAGGAAACTCACAATGTGCTCTCTGTATACATATTGTATTAGATGTACAATGCAGCTTGGTGCTGGGAAGTGGCAGAGTGGTTACAAGCGTGATGTAGAGAGAGCTGGTTGGTGAGGGTGCTCGGAGGAGGACAGCTTGTGGGTCGCCATGCTCGCCGGCGGGAGCGAGGGCCGCCAGGCAGAAGCTGAGGAGGTGGTGCTGCTTTTGCTGGTTGGTGTAGGTAGAAAGAGCGCGGTCGCCGCGAGGTCAGGTCTTATATAGCGGAGGTAGGCGTGGCTTAATAGTTGACCTAGACCACGAGGCATACAAGTTTCCTTTCTCCATCCCATCCTGAGTGTGAACCCAAACATAACGTACCCCACAATATATACGAGAAACACTGTGATTTTCTATTTCTACCTCAATCCTGAGTGTTGGATATATTTCATGTACGTACGTTGTGAGGCCAAACAAGAGACCCTGACAACCTGCCACGACAGTACGCCACAGTGTTTTATTATTATTAGTGGCAGCGTAATACTAATATGAGCTATTTAATTGACCTACTTTAACACCACACTCTAGTAGGCATATCGCATATGCCGATGGCAACATCACCTTTAAAGCAAGTTGGTCCACATTTCATTAGTTACATTAAATTTAATTTATACAAACGTAAAAACTATTATTGTATTATTTTTCGATAAATGACATTTAACATTGTATTGGACATTTTTTGTTATTAATTTAATTATTAATGTTAGGTTTATGAATGAAGTCATCTTTTAATCTTATATGTATAATAATACCGTGACAATTATTTTATAACTAATATTATGGATTTTATCCCACTATTTGTGGTTTTATGTAGTAAACTGTACTGTACATTCTTATCTAAGAAAATGCGGACGTTATGTTACTTATTTATAGTCGACTTTGTAAAAAGGATGTAAATGTACACTGAGGTAAAATATTTTTCATTAAAGTATGTTGCTAGAGTCTATTCTATTTTTAAATTCCAAGTAAATATAGAAACACTGACGCAGCAAATTAGGTTTCAGAAAAATTATGCATCTGTGAGAATGTTCGCCATAGTTACCGGGTACAAATTAAAGTAACATTTTCTAATCGAATCTTTTGTTCTTGATACTCATATATACTTACCACCTACTTAAAACTATATATTCTTTCCTTAAATGTGAGATGTAAGATTCTGGCGTAATAGTTAAAATATATTTGTTTTATTTTGATTGATGGGGGTAGTCATCCCTGTAAGTTTAGTTTTCTAATAGTAAAAGTAAGTCTTCAAACAAGTCATCTAATATTATAGAAACAGTATATCACGCCAAAATCTTGTATATTTTAGGTAAATAATCTATAATAAAACAAATTTATACCAAGAATGGATATATTTTAATAAGTCTAACCTTCATTTGTGAATCATAATAAAGAAGAATAATTATTGGACCTTGTGTGTGTTTTGAACCCGGCCTCACCATGAAGCTGGACGACGCCGCGTGCTTCTCTACATCAGGAGGACACAAGAGAAAGTCTGAATTTGGTACTGAGGATAGGAGAGCGGTAAGAACTAACAATATACCATATAACCTGATAATTTTTTTGACGATATTGAGTGGTTTTCTCTCATATTTTGGGAGTGTACTTGTGGCTTGGTTCATCGTCAGCCGGGTCTTGGTGGGAGCGCGTGGGACACAGACACAAAGAACACTATATGGTACATGACTCTTAAGAGGTTATTGAAAGCTTTAAACTATTTCTTCCAGAGGTTAAAATACTCTCGGGGTGCTATCTTTTGTGCAAGTGAAGTGTTTGGAATTTTGTGATTGTGTCTTTGCTACTGGATTCATGTTAACCCGCAATGGTATAAATGGGTTTTTCTTATGTAATTGAGGGTGATTTGAAAGAGGTTAACTTTGTTTTTTTTGTGGAACTGAATATTTATGGCGATATGACCCACCTCCACTACCTATGACAGTGAACTCATAAAGTGGGCAGAGCTTTGAAGTGGAGCAGAATTGGGGTTAGGGTCATCACATACCCAAGACAATTCGTACCCACGCCAACTCGTACCTAGATAACTCGTACCCAATTCACGAGATAAGTCGTACCCTAGATTACTTACACCCAATTCAAGAGATAATCCATACCTATTAGTATATACTATATACCTTGCATTTTAGCTTTTATCTATGATTACAAAAAGATTATGTAAATCTTGTTGGACAGTGCAGTGAAATAGGGAAATGTAATACAGGCTTTAAAATGGTTGCATCTCATTACATAAGTATGTTATTCCGTCACACAAACATTGCACTACAAGTACATATTTCACATTATGTGGTTTAGAATAACTTTATTGCAGTTTACAGATTTTAGGCCAATAGATTTGGCAGTTTCAATTTATAAACTGGGCAATGTAAATTTTTAAAATGGTCATAAATCAACAAAATATAGACATGCATACAAACAGATTGATTTTCCAGCTCCAGCTTTTTGTAAACAAATCAGTTAGTATACAGTATATAATTCGAGGCTCCTCTCTGGTACTTCTTCCGGTATAATGAAATTGTTCTACGGAGTGGCTGACATCGTGACATCGTCATTAATTTCTTCTTCTGACATGTCAACGTCAAGAATGAAATACAGTAGTAATAAGGATATAAAAGAACGAAGAGTGAGAATATTGGCCAACGCATATACAGTTAGTTATGTTTATTGTATGTTAATTATGCTCTGGATAGATTTGTTTAAAAAGTCACTACCACATGGAAACAAGACCAGTATGAGTAACTTAACGACTTGAGTATGTGTCACCCAAATTCACGCTATTCATATATTAAAATCAACCTTGTCCACATTTTCTTCAAATTACGTGTTAGTGATTGCGCTGTGTACTGACAAAATTTTCGTTTGTAATTCCCTTTAAAATAGCTGGCAAGCTTAAAAGTGAGAGTTTTGTGGTGCTGAGAAGAAAGAGACACCCATTTTAGATTTTCTATGTATTATCTTCGCATTTTCGACTTACGGCCAATTCGACTTATGACCTGGATTTGAGTCCTTAACCCTGTTGTAAGTCGAGGGGTGGCTGTATAGGTTAGGTTAGGTTTACTTAGGTTAGCACATGATTTCAGCCATTTTTATATTTTTTCCCCCACTTATAAATTATCCTGTAATAAAATGAGTGAGAACTGGGTATTTTTAAACTCATTTTCAATGAAAAACAGTGGAGGGTCATGATCCAAATAATTACCTTAGGTTTTTCTTATGTTTTCATATTGATTTGAATGAACATGACCTTTATTTCTAGTATTAATGCCTACTTAAATGACACAGGGTACAGTCATAGCAGCCGTATGTGAAACTGTTATTACTGTATTTTACTTATGGACAACACAGGAATTTTAGGAATTTTATCTTTACTGTAGGTAGTTTTGACAATCCTAAAACACTTTTCTTCTATGATGCCTCCCTCGCTGGAGGGTCCAGGGGGGCGAAGCCACATGGTGAGGTCAGGTTAGGCTATTTGTGAGGGAAATGTCATAGAAGAAAGGTAGGTAATTTCTGAGGACAGCAGTACCACTTGAAGGAGTTGTTCCATTTTTTTTTATTTTTTTCCCACCGATGTTCTTATTATAGTATTTTAAGAGGCGACAACTTTTTATTTTAATTAAAATATTTCCTTTTAAAATTAGTTTATTGCACAGGAAGAAATTAATAATTTACCATAAATACTCCGAAAAACCCGCGGAGTCGGTGCTGGTTGCTGTCTGCTCAGTTTGTTTACAACCGACCTGCTTGGTCTGAGCATACTCTCACATCCACAAAAAACGTAAAATTACACCATGACGCTACAACAAAGTTGCATTCTTTGGTACCAGATATCAAAATAAGTACTTTCTGTTTAATGTGGCCGGAAGTTGGGTATACTGTACAGTCGACCCTCGTTAATTCGGACCCCTTTAATCCGGATTTCGGATAATTCGGACAAAATCTGAACGAACTTTTTTTTTTTTTTTTTTTTTAAGATTTGTAGGAATATTACCTACACGGACCTTAAGCTAAAATGCTGGTCCACCCACTGCTGGGATAAAACACCAGCGTCTTTTTGGTCAAATGTAACATCACCACTAGTGTGGGGGGGGATGCAACTTTTAGCTTCAGACATGAAAAATATTTACCATTTACTGCCAGTAAACAATGGAAACATAAAATTTGTACCAATTAGTAATGAAAAGTTGTGCAGTTCCTTCAGCAAATGAAGCTCACCAACTTACAATAGGCTAAATTACCTTACAACGTGTTTTCAGTAGTCTATGTTGAAGTTCTTAGCACAGGCTAACTTATCATATCATATACGGTATCACAGTTCTCATTGATCTACAAAAAATACCGGTAATAAAAACCTTTTTGATATTTCACACTTAATATAATACCCGGTAATCTACTTCAACCTCCTATTGTTTACAACGACACATGACGCACCACCAGCTGTTGAGTATTAGCTACACGGTACACGTGTTTTTCGAATCGTTTTCAGTTAAAAAACTTACATCACATGTATATTTTACCTTAACTGTGCCTGAATGAATATATTCTCGGAAATAAATAGTAGTTTTGCTGAAACGTGATGTATTTTAATGTAAAATAGGATAAAATACATGATGAAAACAAAAGATTTTACCTAACATTCCGATGTTCTAGAGAAGTTATTCGTTTTTTTAATAGTTTTGGTTAAAATACTGTTATATTACAATGGTATTCTATTCATGCTGTGCTTGATATAATGCATTCACGGAAATGTAATATTTTTGCTGAAATGATGTACGTCTTACAGTGGAAAGTGGGATAAAAATCGTGACGAAAACAATGACTTTGAAATATAATGCAATATTAACCCCTAAATCGGTTAATTCGGACAATCGGCTAAAACGGACACCCTTCCCCCCTATTAGTCCGAATTAACGAGGGTTGACTGTACGTAGTAACACCTTGTTTATTTTGTTTGTCTTCTTCATCTCTTCCATCAAGTCCTTAGCAGACAATCCTACTCTTCCAGCATGGAACCTGACTGGCTTTTCATCTCCAGTAAAATTCTCCTTGAATGAGTTGTCTTGGTAGCTGTTAACAAAGTGGTGAATTAGGCAGAAGCCCTTGTCTACATCCTTAAAAACAGTTCTACCAGTTGATGTAGCCAAACCCAATTTATGACTAATATCACATTGATGCATACCCGATACCATTTGTCTCATAGCCTACATATTTTCATCCATAATGATGCTTTTCTTGTCAAGTTGGCCAAATCACCAACACTCTCACTAACAGGACTATATCTAGATTCTGTAGGCCAAAAAGAAGTTAAAAGGGGTTAGTACCATGATAAAGTTGCAGTGCATTTTTGTTAGCCTGCCAAATAGTGTGCTGCTAATGTGTGAGTTTGTAAATTTTCCTTCCCGGGAGTAGCAGCTCCAGAATTGCCCAGTCAGAGCTGAAGTGTTCGTTTTGCAAATATTTGTTCAAACCTCATCTGCTTGTGTATTCACAACAGAATTTTTGGATATGTGTAAATTAGATGTTTCAAAGGAAGGCCTACAAAATAAATACAAGTCCAAGTAATGGTAACTAAGTTAATTTTTGTTTAAAATTATTGTGTGGCTATGGAAATTCATATCACAAATTCTTGTTTTCACTCCGATGAGGGTTTTTATTGCTCCAACAGTCATGACCGTTAACTGCCCTGATTAAACGAAATACAGTATGGCTTCATCTCTGAAGACAATATCAGATAAGTGTTGGTTTTATGTCAGATTTAAGCACTACCCACTCTTTAAGATTCAGTTTTTGGTTGGCGTCATCCACTGTAGTTGAAGTTCTTGAAAGAAACTAACCTTGTAAGGGTGGAATTTGTGTTGCTATTAAGTTCTAGCAACTGCAGATTGGTTAACTCCTACTGCTTCACCTAATTTTCTCAGTTATTTTCTGGTGTTTATTGTAACTACGTACTTCTAAAACATTATTTCAACTGTATAGAAACAGGGAACAGCTGGTATGACTTCCACTCTAATTCAAGTTATAATGTTTCACCAATGAATTTCTGACATGGCAATGGCATGTCAGTTGTCTTTCATTTAATCTGACTTGCCTCTGTCTGGCTTTTGCTGTAACTATTTAGGAGCACAAGTTCTACCTGCTCTTGTAACGGTAAGTGGAGAAAACAAAAAGTGGGAAGTGGTAAAAGAGAAACCCCCAGAACTAGGAGGAAAGGCATTTGGGAGAGTAGAGTAAAGTTGGGTGGAAAATAACAAGAGGAGGCTTAAATACCACATCTGCATATATACAGTACTGTACTTAACTGCATTATTATTTTGGTTAAGTCGTGTCATGATAGCAGGAATGTTGTTTTACAGAAGCGGCCACTGGTGCAACAGAGGGTAACGATAGATGTTGATGTACTACAAGCACGAGTACAACAAGGTCGTGTTGGTTCTCAGGTGAGTGGGATTATCTGTTGGTCATTTCTGTACAACTTTCTGCAAAGAAAAAGTTATTGTTTATCAGTAATTTTGGTGCCGGCATGACAACCCATGTCACTTGTTAAGTCAGGTCAAAACTGTGCCACCTTAGATCCACCACTAATTTTTGTATATTTGATATATAAATACAATTATTATAATATGGTCATTGTGTCTGTGTACAGATGAAAATCCAAGGCCAGTCCTGTGGCTTCAAAACTGAATCTGGTTTTATGCCTCTGGCTTCGAAGCTGAAGTCATTGTTCTTCCTCGAGCTTCGAAGCCAAAGCCTTTAGAAATTTTTAAAGCCAAAGCCAAGTAAAAAAAAAGCTTGATCTTCATGCCTGAGAGGTATTTATAAGAAAAAATCAGGAATTGAACTTTGTATGAGATAGATTTATACATGAGTACAGTATAATACTGTACAGTACAGTATTTACAAGAATATATCAAATTTGTACATGAGTTCAGTATATACTGTAGAGTATTTACAAGAATATATGAAAAATTGAGCACTCTGAATAAAAACCAGACATAACATTTTTTATTTTAATTTTTAACTTAATACGTAAAATTACGTATGAAACTCTAAGGTGATAATTTGGATCATACGCAATTTTGCTTATGAAAACCCCAAGAGTGTTAAGCTGTTGTTGTCATGTGTCATCTGCAAATTTTATCTATACTGTACTAATTTCTACTTCCATTTCACTTACAATACTAATTTATCTATTTTCAGAGATTAATAGTCAAGAATGATTCTATGAACAGGGAACAACTTACTCTAACCAATCATTTGCAGTTACATTACCTTTGGTAAATTTACTAATGAAGGAAAATAATAATTTTCAAATTAATTTTCGGTATTACTGTCCTTTTCAAACTTGCAGGTATTGAGTCGAAGGGGGAGCCATGCAGTTAAATACCCAGTGAATTGTGATCCCATAGATGGGGTGTCGCCCAACATCCATGCCATGCAAGTCAACCGTACCTCTTGTGCTCGTTGTCTGCAAGGAGAACCGGTGAGTTCTTGATGCTTAGAGGTTGCTGGTGTCTACCATTGTATTTTTCTGCATTGTTGTCTTAGAGTAAAACAATGAGACCAAACAAGGCCACCCATACTTTATTTATGGATGACCCACTTGTACAGTATTTACATAGTCAGCAGTGATGTGCTGAACACATCAAATGCATGGTAAGTGTAATTTGTAGTACTATATACTGTAATCTGATTTTTCTAGTGGACAGTAGACCCTGTGGATTGTGCTTCATACAGAAGAGGGTCTACTGATGCATCAGGTCTACCTACTGTATTTGATTTTATATTATGTTTTGAACTTCAGGCTTATGCTGAACCAGTCCTCAATTGCTTGAGTTTTTAAATTAATTCTAGACTATGAGAAGTCTTGTGATGGTTAGTTTTCAGCTTCTCTAGACCTAGAGTGACAGCAAGGAAGGATGTGATTAGTAATACAGTTTTAAGTACCCAAATGGAATTTCTATATAACACAAATCCCTTCTGAATCACAATACAGGTCTATGTCCCAAATTGTGGCTTCCTCATTTGTATTATCAATTCTTGCAGTACCTGTAGTAATCTGTGTTAGTCAGAATCTTCGATCCACAGAACTCCAACAGACAAAATTTATTATTACAGTATTTTTTTTTATCATTCTGAGGAATTCCAGAGGAAATCTACCCATTCTTGATATCAAATTAATTTCCGAGAAAATCCTTCGTTTCGAGCATGGGAATGAATTTCCAAGGGTATGCATCATGTTTCCAACAACGGGGACTCATGCCGGGTGGTAGGTGGAAGGCTCAGCGTGCTCGTGATTTACGATTGGCCACTACTGTCATGTGACTGCATGGGATGCTTATGATTGGGTGTGTATCATGCAGGCTAGCTCATCAAACTCTTGCATCGTGACACTATTAGTTGATTATCTGCTGCCATTGTACAAGCTTGTTCGCTCGCTCACTGCTGTTTTTGCATATGATCTGTGTTGTGCAGTACTGTACCTTAGTGTACCAGCATATACTCAGTCAAGAATACATTTAAAGCAGTGCTAAAACATAAAATAGTGATTATTGTTATGTATCTGTATACTGTACTTTCAGTAAGCCGGAAAGTACTTAATGCAAGGCTGGAAGCTACATGCCTATGCCACACTTACGTGTGCTTCTCATACGGCGCTGGCACATCACCGCACTGCCAGTCCAATGATGAAGTTTGTCGATGATCGTGTTATTCCAAACATAAGCCCACGTAAATATATAAAAAGGTGTAAATTAACTGCACACATTATTCTAAAAATGGCGGAAACCAACCACTCATAGTCAAGAGGTACCTACATCCAGATGGAGGGAGTTTCTCCAGATATATTGTAGTGAATATATATCCTTTAGAAATGATGCAAATCATTGTGGAAGCATTTTCATTGCACTACTGTACATACATACATAGTTGCTGTGGTAACATGCAGTGTGCTGTCAAGAGCTTCTTGGTCTTGTTTCTTACATAATGCATACATGAATGTTTTTGGTGGTACTGCTACATTTTCTTTCTCCTTTAAAGGTTCAGTGAATCCCTTTTCAATATTTCTCCAGATTTGAGTCTGAAAGGGATGGATTATCTTGGATACACGTGCAGGAAGTTTTTAGGATAAAGAAGCTGGAAACTATTTAGACTTAATTGGTATTCATATTTCTTCTCTGAGGGTTTAAAAATGTTTTACTGACAATACAATACTTTAATATTATATATACTGCATGTATTCTTGCCAGACCTCTGAGAGATGTTTATTGTGGCTCTCCCCTTAGGTGTTTAAGGATGTTTCCCAGTCCTTATTTTAAGGAGACCTTTGAAATCCTAATATGTCTTTAGGTCTCTTGAATAATTTCTTAGTTTCTTTGATTTTATTGGAACATTTGAGGTAAATGTGTTTGAATTTAATATCCATTAAAATGGTCCTTCTTGCATTGATTTCAGAAAGGAGACTTTTCGGGCCAGATACCTTATTACTTGGAAGTGTTTCATTTTTTTTTTACCATTCTGTAGACTGGATGAGTTTGAGAATACAGCTCAAGTTTTATGTGTAAAATAAGATTTAACTTAGGCTGGAATATATTAACTCTCATCCTGGGAGTTGGAAGATAGCTCTCATTATTCATTATATGGTACTGTCAAGGCTGTGAATTCTTGTCTCAGAAACCTGAACTATTTCAACATAAAAAATTATCATTCCATCACACAGAGTGTACTTGCAATGTGATTGTTTGAGCCATCACATTAACTCAGACAAACTGTACATTTTGGGCCTAGACCTTAGGGATATGCCTATCAGTTTTGTCTTACTAACAAGCATCTGATATATTCTAGGGGTGTTATTTAGATATGAAACATTACTGATAAGTTGTCTGGTGTTGGGAAGTTTTTAACATTAACATCTTTGTCCTATACTGTTCTCTGTTAGTGTTAAAATGTATGAGTTTGCTTACCTTTCTTATGGGGTGCATATGTAGGAATGGAAGATGAAGTAGTTTAAGAAGAATTAGACAAATGTTTCTGGTTTTGAACAATTGGTGGAAGATGTTTTGCAACTATTATGTGACATTATATGACAAGAAGTTGATAGTAGATTGTATGTCAGTAAGAGTTGTACAGGAACCACCTACAATACTGTACTTCATTTTTATTTTTCAACAATTAGTACTTATTTTGTGATTTCTAAGGACTGAACAGAAGCCCTCAAGTGCAAATTGGGCATATTACAGTGTCACTTCACACAGCTAAGCATTACACATCATCAATACATTTAAAAAATAAAAATAAACAGTAGTTTACATAAAGTTTTGACTATTACTGTCACGATTATTTTTCACAGATACTGATTTATGTAGAATTTTACTTTTTTTTTGCAGTACTTGAAATGAAAAGGGTAAATATTAAGAGTGATTAGATATTGTGAGAAAGCCTTTGTTTGTCCTTGATCCTGACCTCCCTGTATTATATCATGAAAATATTTGAAAGTGTGGAGATTTTGTGGGTTGAGGTACAGCTCTAGTGAAATCCAGTGCTTTCATAATTATGATCTTACTGGTTCTATCCTAAACTCTTCTTTTACCATCACAAAGGTTGGGTTTGAAGCAGATTTCTGGTTTGTATTGTAGTCAAGTTTGGTGTATAGTATTCCATTTACTATAGTTCTTGCAGAACATTTTAGTTTGGTGACAATTGTATTTAACCCATCATAAAGAATCCAATCCAATCCAGAGCTTCAGGAATTTTTTAATTAGTTTAATTGGCATCTTAATTTCATTCTGTCACTGTATCATCTTTCACTTTTTCTGTTCCACCTCAGTGGTATTTCTGCAAACTTTTGTATTTGCTATGATGTTTCATGACTGCTACTACTCAGACAACGGAGCGATAGACCACTCTATAGTGTAAAATCACACTTGTTTACAGTAAACTTCATAGAAATTTACACACATCCAGCTGATAATTATTTTGCTTTAAACAGTTGGCTCTTGGTGAAATATAATTTTCCCAGGTGGTAGGTTCTTGGAGTGGAAATTTGGCTAGCTGTTTTGGCAAACTAATCTTTTACTTTTAATTTGTTGATCCTCTGGGGATATTGTCTTTATTTTGAGATTTGTTATTTCTTCCTTGTTTGCACCATGCCTTTATTTTATTTTATGCAGAGTTGTATCCCATTTGGTTAAGAATTGACCTACAGTTGACAAACAAAGATAATTTTTGTACAAACAGCAGTATGCATTCAATACATGCCTTTGGACTTTTTATTCTCTCAGTGGAGCATCTTTAGATTGCATAGTATGTACAGGAATTTTGAAGCAAGCATATTTTCGTTTAATCTGAACCTGTGTTTGTTTTCTTGTTGCCAGATAATTTTATTGTTACTTTTGTTTCAGGGTCACTTCCGTCACATCCTGGAGAAGTAACCAGTGAATATACGTGTTTTTTTTTTCACGAGTACCTGCCCTAAGTTAAGACGGGGGGGGAACACAGAACCGCTGGAGGGGCGTTTGCAAGAGTTGGGGATAAGGAACAACTTGCAAGGTAGAATGATGTTGTGCAATACCGGAAACTTGACAGTGGAGTGAATACAGTATTTGACGTTAGGGAGAAACATCCCATAGGCGTTCTAAACGGGTCTTGTGATGAAATTTGAGGTTTTTCGCTCCTGATCTCCGTATTTACTGTCATCATTATGCTCTTACTCACAGAGATTATTGAAGTTGCATAATTGTTTAATGTTGCTAGTGTTTTATAATTTAGTTGTGACAATATCAGGTTTATACAAACTAATCAAATTACTGGTCTGAGAAAACCGGTGGCTTTTACTTTACAATTAATGTGTATACTTTTATTTTACTAGCTCTTTTAACTTATTTTACATGGCTGCTGTAGGTTTAGGTTGAATTTTCTCTCAAAGTTTCTGAATATATCCTGTTTGAGATATTGTGGATTATATAAGTTGATTTTTCGTATAATCTTTTAAAATCTCATTCACTCTATAATCTATAACTATATACTGTACTGTATTCTTCAGTGTAGATGCACTTGATATGTTAACATAGAGTTGTGACTGTTTTGAGATGTACGACAAATGTAATGAACATGAGAAATGCGAGTTTGTTTCTTTAATTTTTTTCATTTTTCAACACATTGGTCTCTGAAACATACAACAAAAACTATTTGCTTTAAAGTTCTATTTGATATGGTTAATACTGTCTTGCTATAATCCAATACACTGTTTGTAAAGTGATGAATGGGTTAGGGAGAGGCACTTGTGATTACAAATTATGTGAATTGGTTTTCTGTGTGTGTGTGGATCTAGTAAAGCAAACTTCCTTTGACTTTCTTGTCTGGTTAAAAAGTTTAATTAGTGGTAGAGGAGTACGTACTTGGGGTATTTTTGGAAATATAGTCGAGGTTTTCCTTGAGTATGCTTCAGATTATAGTCAAGGTTTCTTTCTTGGGTATACTTCAGATTATAGTCAAGGCTTACCTCAAATTATAATCAAAGTTTTTCATGGGTATTACCTGAGATTATAGTTGAGGTTCTTCTTGGGTTTATCCCAGGTTATATTTGAGGCATTTCTTGGGGATACCTCATAGGTTAGACTTACCTGCATAGAATCGTGTTAGATTTGTACAAAAATAGAATTGGCGTGAGGTGTGAGAATTTGTTAAAGGACAAGAGAGATTATAAAGAAAGATTGAAATCCTTCCCCTGACCCCTTCTGCATGACTAGGCTAAGTTACTACAGTACTGTATTTAGTTCACAAAGATATTGGAGCATGTGCCCAGTCAGCCTCCTAAGGTACAAAATCAACATGCCATTTTGTAAACCTGTAATGGATCACAATCACATTTCTCAAATAAATAGTCCAGCTACATACAAATATTTATATATTTTTATCCTCTTTATTGTGTAAGCACATATATATGGTGCATAAAGTGGCATCATAAACTTTTCCTTCTGTTATTTTAACACTGTTCATAAACATTTGTTTCATTTGTCTTTTTTTTTGTGGAAAGTAGTTTGAATGAAGGACAGTGAATGAGGGAATTTGTGTTGCTCTTGGTTCCAGCCACTGTATAGCAAAGCAAGGAAGAGCTTACAAGAGTCTTCTCTAGCTATCTGTTGCCTTTACTCCTCTCCCACTTTCTTGTGGTGAATCAGCAACACATTAACTTCAAAAAAGGGATAAAAGTGCTTGACAAGTGTGGAAATTTAAGATACCAAGACATTAAGTAGAAATATCCACAAATACTTGCACATACCTGCAATTTCTATATCTGCAGTTTGCTTTCACATTGATTCACAACATCTCATATCACATCACTGTGCTTGCAAGATGTAAGGGAAAACTATTTAGGCTTGCTTTGAGTGTTGCAAGTGATTGTACCTACTGACATATTTTGTAGTATTTTATTTACCCCTTATCCAACAATAAGGACAAATGTTTGTCTCTTGGCATAAGACATGAATACTAAATTCTTATGAGGAAGTGGGAGAATTGTAGTGTGTTTACGGGAGCAAGGGGTATCACAGCAGTTACTGAGAATGCTGTACTTTCCTAAAATATGTTTGATCAATAATTTTAAATTACATTTAACTATTGTTGAATTTTGAGTAATTTAGCTTCAGCCTGTCATTTGACCCAGGCATTCATATGTTTGCAACTTGATTAAGGGACCACCCATTTCTTGACCCAACCCATCATACATATCATACCTGGCTTTGATGCCATCCATTCTTTGACCCAGCTGGTCTAGCTACTCTTGCTTTTCCTAACTTACATTTCACTTTATAGCAGTGTTTAATAGTTCAGATGGATTTGTAGGGCCACTTGTGGTAAGGGGAACACCTTGGCAGAACACAATTGCCAAAGTAGTAAGAATTGATGTATAACTAGAAATGAAGAATGAATATGTTTGTATTTATTATTGTTTCTGGCCACCTACTATGGCAGAGGCTTGGAAAAAGTTAATAAAAATGTGGGTGTTTGTATGTGCAAGGGTGAAGTCAGAGCAATTTAAAATATGGAAAAGTTGAAACAAATGGAGGAAAGATGAGAGTAAAATTAGGAGCATCTAAAATAGTAAGAGAGAAAGAAGTGCTGTTGTTGATAGATGGAATGTGAACTTGCAAGAGAATTAGTCCCAGCTAATTGTGTCAAATTAGTGAGTGAAGTGAGGGTTATTATGAGTACATGTGTGCTCAGACATGAGAAGTAGGAAAGAAAGGTTGTGGGAAGACCTGCAAAACTACATTGAAAGTTTAAGTGTGGAAGAGAGTAGTTGTGATAGGGGATTTAATTTAAAATTTGGTGAAGTGGAAGTGGAGGCTTTTTATGGAAATATGGACTGCCAGGAATGAATGGAACTGGTGAGAGACTGATAAATGTGTATGCTAAAAGAGGGTTGATAGTGAGGATATATGGTTCAATCTGAAAAAGAGGAACATTTTAATGGAAGTGGGGTAATGTAAAAGATAGACAATCTATGGATAGAAAAGGGGAACTTTAGCTGATTGATGTGGATCTAATATGAATGTTTATTTTCACATAATGAAAAAGAGGTGTAAAAAAAGTGGCTCATTAAAACAAATCTTATCTTTTTGGGCATGTGTATATCAGGGGATCCCATTGTACAGTAATACATAAGATGCTTAGGGAGAGTTTCAGATCACAAACACTTTCCTAATGTATGCTTATTCACCAGGAAATATGCATGTAACACAATGAGTTTTTAATTGTCAGATGAAGCATCATACAGTATGGCACAAAGCACTTTACAGAGTACAGTGTATAATTTAAATATGTGAAATTTTTATATTTATACAATATTCTAATATATTTAATGATATATGAATCAAATTTTGTGGTTAAAGTAGAAGGCAGGTGTGTCAGGAGGGATTTGTTTGAGAAATACAAAGTATTCCTACAAACAGTCCACTAGAAAATTACAGCCTCTTGAGTGTTTCATCCTCCAGAAGATATTGACACTTAAAATTTGCAGGACGTGTACTGTATTTCCAAGTCCATTGTCATCACCAAGGCTTGGGAGACAATGAACCTGGTGTAGAATCCACAATCTGGGAGTTAATGAAATTACCTATGTTTTCAATGAGGACATGACTGCTGAATCTGTTGAATAAAGAAATTGTATTGGAGAAACCTAAGGAGGACATAATTATGAAAAAAAAATGAGTGGGGATGTGTGTGTGTGTTTTAACATAAATGAATCATATGACTCAACTTAGCATGCATAGATAATGATATGAAGCATTGTACAACAGATCATTGTGGATTTGAAGGATTCACTTTATGAACATGAACAGTGTATTCATGATAAGGATATGAAGAAAATGTTTGGTGACTATTTCAACTTTTAGATTGGGATATTTTCTGTCACTTCCACATCAATCTCCCATTCTGTTTCACCACTTTGAAGTTTCTGTATCATACAAAAGTAGTAGAGGAACAGAAATGAGAGAAGTTTTGCTTCACTAGACAGAAGAAGGGTAATTAGTTTATGGAAAGATGCTGTAATAGAGTGAAAGTATTTTAAATGTGTTTTGAAAACAGGATAGTACCTGTATAGTAATGCTATGAAAAGGGAAAGAATAAAAATGCTTAAATGGGACACAAAAAATTAAACAATATGTAGATAAATGTCAGATAAAATGATGAGGTGGTTTGAACATTTACTGAAAGTAAAAGTTTTAAAGTAAGTTTAAGTTCAAGAATATAATTGTCAGAGGGCAGTACTTCAGGTTAACTTCACAATGGCATGTGCTAATATATTTAGGGGAAATTTGGAGTTAGTCACAATGCTAGATTTTACCAGCAAATGAAACAAGATGAAAATGATTGATATGTGTAACTTGGTTATGTTATTGAATTGTACAATATCACTTGATGCATCCAAAGTTCATAATGGAAGAAAAAGCAAATTAATCAAAATGACATTATACTCAACAAATTTTAGTGTGTCTATTAATTACAATAAGGTTATCCCTGCCAAGTGTGAATAAATTGATCCTTTCCTTGGATTAAACCATAAACTGTGTTGTGGAATATGATTCTGTAGTGTACTTTTTTCTTTTGACTCTGAGCATCACTGTCTTTTTTTTATCATGTTTAGAATCTTTATCCAGCTGCAATGTGGGATGGCAGGCAGCAAGAACAAACAGACCTTTTAATTTGTTGTCATCCATTCACTCTTACTGTTGAAACGTACCCTTAAACCACTCAGTGGCATGCTCTACAATTACTGTACAGTAGTCTCATACACTGCTTCCTCCTGAATGTCCGTCTCCCTACCTGTAGTATATATTTCACCCTATCCTTCAATCTCTCCCATTGTCTACTCTTATATACTATACTATACTTTTATCAATCCCAATCTTTCATTTCAAGTTATCTCAAGGTGCCCACACCACCTAAGTAAACACTAAGTCAGCTCCTGCATCCAACATTTTTTCTCTTCTACATTTTCTAATCTTTATGCATGTACAGGTATTTCTTATTTTCTATGTCCTATTCACCTTACATGGTATTCTTGGGCACATTATTTCCATTGCTTATAATTTTCCTTCTCCCTCTGCATGCTGAATTTGTTCTTCATACCCATGTAGTAATACCACCTCTTTGCCTTTTCTGATATGCTTTTCTCTCTCCATGCACTTGTTACTGTCTTTCCCTCCTCTTCTCTTTGATTCAGTTTGTCACTTGTTTCTTTAGCTATGAAATATACTCCCAAATATCTGGAACACTTCATTTCTTCCATGCTATCTCCTTTCATACAAACATTTTCTTTCTCCATTTCTCTTTTCAATATATTTTCATCATTTAACTTTTTTTCACATTTCCTTTTTAGTCTTCTAGTACATATTGTATGCTTCCTCACTCATTTCCTAACATTTTTAACTATTCTTTTGAAACTCATATCCCTGTTTACCAAACTTATTCTTTTCCATCACCCATGTCCTAACTTCTCTCACAACCTCATCCATTAAAATAGTGAACAACCAGGTAACAGTAGACATAAAGCGACAAAGTAGTTCCCAGTTTATCTTCCAGACACACTTTACACATGCTTTCACTTTCCATATGAAAACTCTGAAAGGCATAGTATAAGATTTTTCTATGTACAGTAATCCACACATTTTCAAAATCTCCCATGCTAGTTCTCTATTGGCATTATCATTGCTTTTTCCTGATCTGTAAACTCATACATTCTTTCCTCTCTTCAAAATCTCAACTCATTTATGCAAACATCCTGTAACATCCTTTTCCTACCTGATCCAGCACTGCTCTTCCCCTGATATGCTTTGCTTCTGCAGCAATTCTTAAAAAAATAACAACCATGTACTTTTTTCTGTAGCAGTGTGCAGTACAGTGCTTAACAGATGCATTCTTCCATAAACCCTACATTCTTCCTTAAAATTCACTATTACACTTAAATCTCCCATCTCTATCATTTTTATCTCACACAATTAGTTTTCAATGAAGTTATTCAAGTCTTCTTGAAACTTTTTCCTTTCCAACTCTTTCTCACTACTGGGGATATGCTTTCACAATAATCCCTCTCTATTATCCCACTTTAGACTTTAAACCTTACATATGATGTTGTACTCCCCATTTCATTGATCATTAGCACCACCACACCTTTTGCTCTTGCTTTCTCTGCATCTTCAAACATAAATCCCTCAGTTGTCCACAGGAGATTTCCTCTTTTGCCTTTCAGTTGTGTTTCTTTCAAACAAGGATTATTCAAGTTACTTTCAATCATCCATGTAGTACTGTACCTTCTCCCACTACAGTTAAGTTCTTTTCATTACTGTTTGATAACAAAGGTACAAAGGCCAGTCAATGGCAAGGAGTAAATTTCAATGGACACTATGGGAAATCTACCCTTGCCTGTATATTGCAAGTACCATTATGTATGTATGATATGTATTTCTCCACAGATTGGAGTCTGGCAGTACAAGTTGTCATGATATATTGGGACCAGTCAAGATCAAGTGCACTTGACCTTGAAGATTTGTATAATTACACCTGTTTTATATCATAAGTTAGGATCTATACATTACAGTCAACCCTCACTTTACGCGGTCCCACATTCCGCGTTTCCACGTTTACGCGGTGCCCTGCCAGAACCCAGGATGCTCACATTCCGCGGTGGGTGTACCCCTTTACACGGGTGAAGTATAATTTTTTTTATTTTAGCTCATAAAATTCATACAAATTATCCGGCCAGAATATAATTTACATTGCTGGAATTCTTACAATTTGATGATCATTTTGAATATAAACATCATAGATTTTGCATTAGACATACAAATTTTAGATATAATGTTTACTCTTGAGTAAATATGTTATCTTTTGTGCAAAATATATGATATTTATATTCAAAATATTCCTGGTCTTACAAGGAATCCAGCAATGTCAATTATATTATCCTAACTTTAGTCTGATTTATTATTTATTACTAAAAAGGTAAACAGTCTGGTATTCCCACACATTTATCTAGTAGGGACGTTGGTGGGGGGTGGGGGGGAGGGAGGGAGGGACCGGCGACCGACCATCTGTTACCGTGTGAAGAATATTTTTTTTTTATTAACTGAAGATTTTTATTTTAGCTCATAAAATTCATACAAATTACCCGGCCAGAATATAATTTACATTGCTGGAATTCTTACAATTTGATGATCATTTTGAATATAAACATCATATATTTTGCATTAGACATAAAATTTTTAGATAAAATGTTTAATCTGAGTAAATATGTTATCTTTTGTGCAAAATATATGACGTTTATATTCAAAATATTCCTGGTCTTACAAGGAATCCAGCAATGTCAATTATATTATCCTAACTTTAATCTGAGGTATTATTTAATACAAAATGTTAAAATTTATTTTTTTCACCCACTCTTTCTCTTGAAGGGAGGATTGGTGGGGGGTGGGGGGGAGGGTTGGGACTGACCACGTGGTTGGAAGAGGGGGGAGGCAAGGTGGGGTACTTTGATTGACAGATAGTGTCGTGAAGAATATTTTTTTTTTATTAACTGAAGATATTTGTTTTAGCTCATAAAATTCATACAAATTACCCGGCCAGAATATAATTTACATTGCTGGAATTCTTACAATTTGATGATCATTTTGAATATAAACATCACAGATTTTGCATTAGACATACAAATTTTAGATGTAATGTTTAATCTGAGTAAATATGTTATCTTTTGTGAAAAATATATGACATTTATATTCAAAATATTCCTGGTCTTACAAGTAATCCAGCAATGTCAATTATATTATCCTAACTTTAGTTTGAGGTATTATTCATTACTATACCTGGTTTTCCCCCAAAAATTTCTCAGAGGGAAGAGCCAGCGAGTGTAGTGTGAGAAGAGGGGGAGGGAATCGTGTCCGTTATTTGAATGGACATTTACTTGGCGACTGTATTTCTCTATTTCTCTTAAGTATTAATTGTGTGCATGTACCATCATAAAATTAAGATGTTATTTTTACTACAACATAGTTATGTGTCGTCAAAAAGTGGAGTTTGGGGATCGGCCTGGACTCCATTTCAATTAATCCCATATGTTATGTTATTCACTTTACGCGTTTCTCGCTTTCCCCGGTACCCTCCGGGTTACATTAACCGCGTAAAGTGAGGGTTAACTGTATTTCATTTCAGTTGAATTTACCTATTAATGTACTACTGTATTAGTTTTGTAGCATGTCAGTAAAGAACTAAATTTTTTGTACATATTAATTAAGGGGAGCACATATCTGTATCAATGATCTCGCCTGAAATAAACTATAATTTTCCATGAACCGAAGCATTTACCATATGAAATATAAGAAAAAAGCCCATTAACCAATTCATCAGCATGGCAGTGATGCTCCCAGTGTTTTAACATCTTTTCCCAATGTCCTGCTAGTTAAAACTACCTTAAAGGCAAAGGATGCATTGTCTTAAAGTTTATCATGTGTTGCAGAATACGAGCTCAGTTCATGAGTGAATACAGACAGGCATAACTTTATGGTACATGTACCAATGATTTAGTGTCCATAAATATATACAGTACTGTACAGTACATGCATATGATGGCTGTAACTGTAATATATATGTGTGTGTGTGTGTGTGTGTGCCTGTCTGTAGCTGGCCACATTGGAAGTGAGACAAATTATGGCTGATGGAGAAGCTTATGTAATATTGTAAAAGGAACGAGGTACTGGCTGCCTCAGGTCTAATAGTTGCCAGTGGGCATCAGTGGTAAAGGGAAGACTGTGTCAACTTGCTCTGATGTTTTTCTTAAAGACTTTTTGTCATTATTTTAAATGCAGTACTGTATATTCTTTCATATTTTTTATTGACCAATTTTCATCAGACATGTGAATTTATTTGATTTGGAAAGAAGAGAAAGACAGTAACAAGTAATTTTCTAGATTAATATTTAAATAAGTATTTAAAAAAATCGGAATGAAGGACTTTCCATTGCCAAATTGAAACAGTTGTATGAATTAGATGTAGGGGATATCAAAGTTTAGACTCAGTCAAACATTGAAGTCTCTTGCCTGTGTCTTTTAAATGCATGTGTCCACATGCTTCAGTAGTGATACTAGTCAATTTATTTTGGATTATTTTCACTGCCAGATTAAAAATGACTTTACTGTACTCTTTACAAATGCTTGTACAGTATATTACTCTTGATACACATGAAAGATAGGAGCAAAACATATTCAACCTTAACTCTTAATGTGCAGCCATGGACTTCTGGTCAGTCACTCCAAATGCAAATAAAAATCAGCTTTTCAAGTCTTACAAAAATATGAAATAGTCTTACAAATAATAGAGAGGCATGCAGAAGAGTAGAATGTGACAAAAACAAAACAAAAACAACAAAAATTATTTCCTTGTTCAGCCATCTGGAGGAGTTTTTTTCATTGCACTACAGTATTTGTAGATTATCCCCCACAGTGTAGGGGAGAGTGGACTGTAGAGGTGTGTGTAGTGGTGATTTGACTGATCACATGTTTACTGCTTGATAACTTACTTAAGTGTTTACAAACTCTTTTACTGACTTACTTTATAAAATTACTGGTGCACCACATACAGTGTTTAACAATTTACTCAAAAAGATAATGTTTCCACTCTACTTTACTTACTTACAGAGTTATAGGTACTTATTTATTATTTACTTACTTATTTGCTTACTTGCAACATGGTGGTTGGGTGGATACAGTGCTCGAATTCTCTTCCAGGAGTCGGTGGTTTAATTCCGGGGCGCTCTAAGTTTACCCAGCTGTAAATGGGTACCTAAGCTTACAACTTGGGGGAAGTGAAGGTGGTCGAGTGCAGTACCAGCCATGCTGCCTCCTTGTGTATACAGTGTGTTGTATCCACATTGTCCCTAATGGGAGCCAATGAAGTGAGGCAGAGTGGTGGTTCATGCCAAATTCACCCCACAGATAAATGCAGTGTTTATATAAATTGGCCACAAGCACCGATATAAATGTTTCTATATGTTGGCTGCATGCTCAGGGTTAAGAGCATAAACACAGTGGCCGTATAAGACAGTAATTTTTGGAGGAGCATCGTGACAGTTCAAAAGACAATGGCAGTACTGGCTCCCATGGCTACCATAAAATTCATAGCCTGATATACCATGCTGGTAAATATTTTTTCTGTGCCTGTCTGATGAAGTCTTGCAAAATTAGAATCTTTAATGAGTGTATATCCATGTCACTTTAAATCTTGTTGAATGAATTCTCATGTTTTTGCCACCCCACTTTGACCTGTTACATGCGTTCATGCATTGTTTTTTTTATCTCACTGGGATATATGTTTCCTAAATAGTAATTCTTCATTGCTCTTGGACCATATTGTATAGAATGTATTATAATTGAAATATCCCATATTACTGTTCAAACTCAAGATAACATTATTGTATTACTGCCTCAGGGTAAGGGTGTTGATCTGGAAATAATTTATTTTCTTAGTTCATGATAATCAATTTTGCTCCTGTAGTAAATAGGTTTTAAACTACAGTATGTACAGAAGTACTGTATATGATTTATAGGTATTTCAGTAACATACTAATACTGTACTACCTTAATGTTGTTTTCAATAGATTTAATCTGTTAGTTTACATGAAGAAGGGAAGTTTGTATTTTGTAGCACTTTTTTTTATATAGAAGTGCAACAATTTGGCACTGAGGCAATAATAAATGGACACTGCATATCTGTTTAAGCTGTAAAAATGTTTGTAATCTTAATTAATCATCAATTGAGTAAATTTTTTACCTAACTGTATAAGTTGAGTAAAATGCAATCATGCTTCTCAAGCATGGCAATTTCTGTACCTCTAGTGGAGTATCCCCCACTGTTGCTTTATGATATCACTGGCTTTCTCAGCAATCATGATGGTCGGGACATTGGTGTTACCTGTGGTGACAGTAGGCATCATGGAAGCATCCACCACACGTAGCCCCGACACCCCACGTACCCTAAGTTAAGAGAGTCAATGTAAATTTAAGGGCATTCATTCACAGCAGGATTAACAAGAAGACATACAAAGTACTCTATGAATATCAGTACAGTATATATTTCTGGTGTAGGCTTATGAAATAATGATATTTTAGACCTTGTGCCTGCATATTAATCAATGAATTACTTCAATTAATATAAAAACAGATCTTTTCATAGTATCGTAACTTTTAATTTTATAATTATCAATGTTGGTTTACATAGTTCTGTAAATTCCTTTTAATTGGGGAAACAGCCACACACCCTCAAAATGTTGCAGTAATACTTCAACCAATTCCCACTATGTCCTCTGCTATGCCACCATTTTTTTACCACAAATATGAACCTTAAGATCGTATATTGTACTGTACTTTATGTTTTTATTATTTTGTTTCTGTTCCTCAGTCTTTTAATGTAGCTCTCATCTTTCTTACCCTGTGTCCATCTACCTTCTTTCTTACCCTGTGTCCATCTACCTTCTTTCTTACCCTGTGTCCATCTACCTTTTATCTTATCCTGTGGTTTATCTACCTTATTTCTTACTCTGTGGTCTATCTACCTTCTTTCTTACCACCTACTGGGTTCCGTCTTTCTTACCCTGTGGATCACCTACCTTCAGAGATACATTATAGTCCACTACCTACGGTATACCCTGTGGTCCACCTATCTAAAGTCTTACCCATCTGTTCACACCCTTTAGTTTAACCTTACAATATACAGTATAGTCTGGATTTACGCGGTTTTTGTTTACGCGTTTTGTCATTTACGCGGCACCTTGCCAGAATGAAATGTTTTAATTACGCGGGAAGCGGCGCGGGCAGGGTGCGCACAAGGTCGCCCAGTCATCAAAACATTACCGAGTTCTTCACCGGCCACCCACCACAGCCGGCCCAAGTCAGAGATAGTGATAGTGACGATATGGACTTTGAGGGGTTTGACAAAGAAGCCCTGCAAGCCTCTGTGGTGGATAGTGATAGAATTGATACAAGTGATACAGGTGAGGGCCAATAATCTGCCCTCTACCTCGGAACCAACCCCCCATCCCCGTGTGCCCAGCCATCTTTTCTACTGACGTAAGTGTTAAAAAACCTAATATTGTTGATATTTCTCTTAAATATTAATTGTGTGTGCATACCATCATAAAATTTAGATGTTATTTTTACTACAACGTACGTATTGTGTTGGAAAAAGTGGAGTTTGGGGGTCGGCCCAGTCTCTATTTCAATTAATCCCATATGTTCTGTTATTTCGTTTACGCGTTTCTCGTTTTACGCGGACCTCCATGGGTTCAATTGACCGCGTTAATGCAGACTATACTGTACCCAACTCATTCCACAGCAAGACACATTTGTTCCTGCTAGGTAAGATCCTTACCTAAGGTTGTGGTCCACTACACCAAATGGATCTGAGGAGGGGGCCATCTTGCAAGAACCAGCAAAATGGTAAGTAGTAGTGGCCATATGTCTGATGAAACAGGTCCAGTAGGCATCAGTTCCATAGGCTATATCCTCACACCCTGGGAAAGACTTTTGGGAGACACTTAAAATGAGAACTATTACAACATTATTAAATTATTTTATTTAATATGTGTCTGGGAAGTATCCTTACATTTCTCTGTATTTCGTCAAACAAGCTTTTTCCCTCTGGTTAATTAAGATGACACAACCCTCACATGCAGTAATGTGATCCTGTCACATATTTAAGGCAGTAATATTCAAAATTTAATTCCAAATACAGTATTAATATAATAATGCCATCACATCATACAGTACCGGTACTTTAAAATGTGGTAAAGTAATCAGTCACTGCACTCCAAAATGTTTCTGGGATTATAGTCTAGCCATAGTTTTGCAAGTTGTCCAGTGAAAGAGAAAAGTCTGGTCTAGTTTTCTCCAGTGATTAAGCAAAACATAATGTCAGCCTTGCCATGACTACATCTTGACAGTTGGCAAGCCTGAATCTAATGAAGCCACACACTGTATGTGCTGTTGGTCCGAAAGAGGCTCAGATAATCCTAGGTGATTTTACAGGCCCATATCATTGGTCCTCGAGAGTTAAGTGTCTTACTACGATTATCGTAGGTGATCCAACTAAAGTGGGTTAATTAAATTTATAATTAGAATGTCATGTAAATTGGATCTCTATTTGAACCAGTACTTAATAAACAAACAATATTTTGTGATGCCATGTGCCTTTTAATTAGGTTCCCTTGATATATTGTTGGATTTTATATTACCATGACACATCATAAATGCTTGACCACACTTCATAAGTAAGACGTGTTATGAAATAAATAGGATGAGATGAGTAGTATACTACTGTATTTTAAATTTAAGAACACCAAACCTGATAGACAAAGTCCTTATGGAAACTGACAGGGTTTCATTGGATTGCAAGCATGCTAGAGAGGGAGAAAGAGAGGGGAGCTTCATATAGAATATAGGTATAAACAAAGGATCAATTGGCAACTCATTTCAGGGTTCTCAGACCTACCAACTGCTTGTATTAGGGGAATTATGCGCCAAAATGTTTGCCGTTCACCAGATGATTACACCCAATTCCAGGACCATACTCTTGTCTTTCACTGTACAGTACCTCCCGATAGAAATATTAATAAAATAAATAAAAATAAAATGGGTAAGCTCGACACCTTGTTTTTGGTTTATGTGCATCTTGCCACAAGTACTATGTCAAATTACAGTAGTATTAAAGTCATGCCCTCACAGATAGCAACAGTATGAAGCAGAATTTGTTTAAAAGACAGTTTCATTAATCTCCTATCTATTTACATGAGACTGATCAAACTTTAATACTGTAATTACTCTTGTAGTTGTTTTTAGGCAATACAGTATGTCTCATGACAGGGTCATGTGCTTTGATGGATGAGCTTTCATCTTTCATTACCGGTAGTTTGATTATTTACCGAAAATTCTAGATTTTCTTTAATAGTAAAGCACAAGCCTCAAAAAAATTCATCAACATATTGTACAGCTTCTTCTCCCATATTACTCCTCCAGGTGCCAGATGAAGCATGTGCCCTGAGGATATGAGTCCTGAAAAGAAAGGTACAGTACTTGGTGGTTGCACCATTTTTTGTTTTCTTTTTCTTTCCCACTTGCTTGCTTGTCCAGGTATTATCTCAGGCACTTTTTAAGCTAGGAAACTGAGCTTTAGGCACAAGAGGGATATTTTTCTTGCTTACTTGATTGTCCAGGCAATATTTCAGGACAATTTAAGCCAGGTATTTGAAATTGGGACACAGTAGTTACCAAGTGCACTCTCTATCTCTTTTCCCTTTTTTAATCACTATTTTTTCATGGCATGGGGCGGTGTACATTGAATATACTGTACCACTATTTGTTCATCATTTTGTTGCATTATAAACATATAGTACCTGTATATGGTAGTACTATATTAAACTGTACTGCATTGCAAAAACCTTTTACTGCATGTTATTTACAAGCATATGGCTGCATTGCCTTTAGTTTCGGTGGAGAATTTATACTAATTTTCAAAGTTTTCAAGACAAAAAATGAACTCTTCTCCCAGAATATATTAGGCTTATTATATTTACAGTCTTTTATTATACTCAGCCTTGTAGATCTTCAGAAACTTTACTGTGTAGGAAATTTCTTCCTTCTTATTAAGTGATTAACCACACCTGAAGGGAATAACCTTCAATATTTAAATTAAAATTACCTGTTCATTACATAAAACCATTTTCTCTTTCTCAGGTGTCACATGATCTATATTTTCATATTGCTGAAGAAACAGACTAACTGTACTGAACTGAATTTTGTCTTTATTACCTAGGAAGATATTAGTTGACAAAAATACTGTATTTATTTCCACAGTATCTATTTATTTTATATTTTCTCCTCTCCTATGTTTGTGCAAAGTGGATCAATATGTACTGAAATCTGAAAGAAATGGAGGAAATGGCAAGGGAGTCTGGCACCGACAAAGTCTAGGAAGTGACAGGAAAGGGCAGCAACAACTATAGTACAGGTCCACCACCGATTTTCCGGGAACAGATGGTCCGGCACCTATTTTAATCCAGACAAAATTATGAATGGGCACTTTAAATAACTGCGATCTCCAGATTAGTTTACTGGGCTGCCACGGGTGGTGTTACATGTTAACCGAGTCACTTTGTTTGTTTACTCTGCAGTTGCTGGTGGTAGCTCCTTGATATTGTGTGATTCTTAGCATATTTTGCACATATTTAACCCCAGCTATGGCTTCAAAGGCAAGTACAAGTGTCAGTGGTGGTGTAACTCATAAACACCAGTCCATATCAATACAAGATAAGGTGGAACTCTTAAGAAAACTTGACCTTTGTGTTTCGGAGCGACAGGTGTGTGATCAGTATGGTATTGGTTCGTCAACTGTGTATGATATAAAGAAGCAAAGAGAAAAAATAATGAGATTCTATGCAGAAAGTGATTCCAAGAAGCAAATGTGCATTAGAAAAATAATGAAAGACGGTGAGAGTACCGAACATGATAGAGTGATGAGGGAATGGGTTAGACAATGTCTCATTGAAGGAGTGGAATTGTCAAGTATGGCATGATAATGGAACAGGCAAAGGTGTTCCATGAAGAACTTAATTTAGAACATAACTGTGACTATAGTGAAGGATGGCTTCAAGGGTTTAATAAGTGTCATGGAATTGCAATGAGTAAGGTTTGTGGTAAAAAACGGTTCTGCAAACAAGGAAGTAGCTGTCGAGTATGTGGACGAATTTGCCAAGCTTGTAACTGATGAACACCTCAGTCCCAAGCAGGTATATAATGCAGATGAAACTGCATTGTATTGGCGATGTACACCCTGAAAAACATTAACAATGGAGGATGAAGAAGAGCCCACAGGATTCAAGCAGTCTTAGGATCGAGTTACCATCCTAGGGTGCTCAAATGCAGCAGGCACACACAGATGTAAGCCACTGGTTATAGGTAAAAGTAAATGCCCTAGAGCCTTGAAAGGTGTTAAAATTTACCCAATGACATACCGTGGCAATAAGAAGGGCTGGATTACTACCATGCTTACCTTAGAGTGGGTTGAAAAGTATTTTGTGCCAGAAGCCAGAGTGCACTGCAAATCTGTTGGCCTACCAAATGATTGCAAAATTCTTCTTATTCTGGACAACTGTTCAGCTCACCCCAAAGCTGAACTTATGTGTAAGAACAATGTTTATGCAGTGTATTTACCTCCAAACTGCACATCGCAGATCCAGCCCCAAGACCAAGGAATACTGAGCTCTCTGAAGGCTAAGTATCGTTCACTGTTCATGAAACGTATGTTAGAAGTGGTAAATGCTGGCAAGCCTGTAGAGACATTTATTAAAGATTTTAACATGAAAGATGTGCTGTGGTTTATTGCTAGTGCCTTGGACAAGATAGAAGCATCAACCCTAAAAAATGGCTGGCATAAGTTGTGGCCTGCCTTGATGTTTGAAAATTTCCCTGGGGAAAGTGAAGGAAATGACTTTACAGGGTTTTGTGTCACAAAAGAGAAGGAAGTTGTTCACGAGTTGCTTGAGTATGCAAGAGGTGTTACAGGATCTGTGGCCAATGAGGTAGGAAGTCGGCTCAGTGAAGAAAATCTGACAGAGTGGATGAGTGTAGACGAAGATGCACCTGTTGTTCATCACTATACTGACTCTGAAATTGTAGATATTGTTCTGAATCCTGAAAAAATAAACAATGAAGGTGATGAAGAACACAGTGATGAAGAGGAAACAGATGAAGCTGAAAGAGTTTCTATTGACAAGTTAATCGAGTTGTCGGGTCAGTTTATCAAAGGGTTAGAGCAACGTTCCTTCGTGACAGAACCAGAACACAAATGAATTTTTATTTGATGCATGAAAAATTACACAGGGAAAGATCAAAGCACATGAAACAAGTTCGCCTGGACGATATGTTTAAAAAGTTACTGGGTAGCCAAGAAAAATGGGTGTGAGAGCAGTAGGCCTACACCTGCAAGACCTGTGGCCTCGACTTCAAGTACCTCAGATGTGCCTCCCTGCAACACCACAAGTCCAGGATGAAACAGAAAGCAACCCTGACAGCCCCCAGCTTCCAGACCTTTGTAATTAGATCTTTAGTATTTGTAAAACTCTACAAATTGCCACTCTGGGAGCGGCAGTACTGCAACATTCTTTATTAAGTACTAATTAATAAACCTGCATCATTTATACAGCCTGTATTTCATTTAATCATTTAATTTACATTTAATATTTGTCTAATTTAAGTTTCTAGCAGGCATGGTGTTTTAAAGATACCGGGAGGTGTATAGCTAGTGGGTCAGAGGTGTACAGTATACTGTAGTTTACTTTTTATATATAACCTTTGTTAATCCGGCAAAACGGATGGTCCGGCAAGGCTCAGGAACCAAAGGTGTCAGAAAATCGGGGGTGTACCTGTACATGCAAATGAAGTAAGAATTTTTAGCCTTTGTCTTGTATTTAGGAGTAAGATTGTAGGAGAATGATGACACACTGAAAGTGTTAGAACATAATGAAGTCAGTCAGTGAAATAAGGAAGCATATTGGTAGTAAGGTACAAAGAGAATGCATTATTTTAGCTTATTTTAATTATTACCTTAAAAAAATAACGAAAATGGGACAAAAATATTCTTTTCATAACTACAGATTTTTGTAAACTGAACCTTCATAAATTAGGGATTACTTGTATAAGGTGAAAGTATTGTACAGTATTGTGCTGTATTATGGAACATAATGAAGTCATAATGTTCACATTATGGATTGTACTAATATAGTGTACCTGTACAGTATTAGAATATAGAATACTGAGACTATGCAGATGCACCAAGAGAGAGAGGGAGGGGGGGGGGGATAAGATATGTAGCTCCGGTGATGAAAGTGCTGAAAGCATACACAGTGCTGTATGTACAAAATGGCCACTGAGGGATGGAACATTATTCCTGCTTACAACTGTACATGCACTTCTGAGTGAATGAATTAAATGACTAATGGAATAATGTCAAATTTAAGAAGAAGTATAGCTTACACTTATTTAGATATACTGTACAGTACTGTACCGTATAATGAGGACATGCAGATGAAAAGTCAATTGGAACTGTTGATATCACATCAGTGTGCACTTGCAGTGTGACAGACTATGACAACTTATTAAGTAACCAGTGCACTTAAGTATGCTTAGAGTTATAATGTAGTTACCTTGTTATTGAACTTTGCTTTCACACTGCGAGTAAAGGCAGATGCGTTGCCAAGTGTCACTGTGAACTTAATTCCTGGAATAAAGAATAATTAATTCCTGCAGCAACAATCGAGGACAAATTTGATAATAAACTGGCAAAGAGAATTAACTGTATTGTTTCAGAAGGTAAAATACTATGGTAAACAGCCTAAGAATGGAAGAAGAGAAGTGAATTTTGAGGCAGAATGTGAAACTGGAGTTGGAGAAGAGTAACTGATGGAATGAAACTCAATGTAATAGTTTGGTATGGAAATGTTAAGAGAATGAAGATGAAATACCGTAATGAAAATAATAATAATAAAAAGAATGACATTACCTGGGACCAATATGTGGAATGAATAGGTTGCAGATAATAAAAAGACGAAAATGGTGCAGAAGTTAAAGAAAAGTTGTGTGAGGAGTAGATTAGGGAGTGTTCAGCTGGTGTGCATGTAAGAGAGAATGGGAGGTGAAAAAATGAAGATTGGTTAAAAAAAAACCCACGATATGAAGGTGGATGGTGGGAGGGAGAGGTGAAGACCAAGTGAGAAAGGGAAGGATGGGGGTGAAGAGTACTAGGAAAGATGGAGGTGTACATCCAGGAAGCAGAAGTGTGTATAGATGAGCAGAGTGTTGAGTATATTTTGGGGAAGACTATGATAATGAGGGGTGTTTCTGTGCTATGTGCAGTGACAAGTAAACCATGTACTGTATTGTACTGTGGAGGTGGAGTACTATAGCAGAACACATCTTTTACAACAGCAAGGATGAATGAATGGCAGCAAGTGAAGTGAGAGTTTGTGCATGTGACAGTTCTTGATTCTGGCCACCTGCCTTAATACAAGATAATGATTGAGAGACTGAGAATAAGTGAAGTGAGGAGATGTACTGTATGGTCATAACAAAGACAACATAGGACAATCAGTGATTTTGTTGGTGACAGAACAATCGTACAGTGGTCCCTCGATTAACGAACGATCCAATTAACGAAATTTTGGTTAACGAATTGGCTCCCATAAGGATTTTAAATTCCATTAACGAAAGCCTTACGAGAAACATGCTTTGTCGTGCACATCAGCTGATCGGCTAGTCCGCCAATACAGAAAGTTGTGCTCTTGAATATTTTTGCATTTTTTATATTAAAATTATTGGTCATTCTAATTTAGTTAACATATTGATAAAATATACAGTACAGGGAACAGTTTTTGTGTGCCAATCAGCTGATCAAATCACCCACCAATGATTCTCAGTTTAACTTTGTTTACAGTGGAGTGAACATCCAGTTTGTTGGTCTCTTGAATATTTTTGCATTTTTACATTAAAATTATTGGTCATTCTGAAATTTAGTTCACATATTGATAATATACTGTGCAGAAATTATTATGAAACATGAAGAAGGCATTAGAACCAATGCACTCTGTAAAGAATATGGCATGCCATCATCGACTGCCTTTACAATCAGCTGTTTAATATGTAAACAAAGCTGCTGGGAATACGACATACACACCTCAAAGTAAGTTGAAATATAGTATTCTATTGTTTTTTATTTATTATTATACAGTATACTGTACAGTACAGTACTGTATTTAGTTTATATTTAATGTTTTGTTAATTCTATTAGTGGTATAGTACAGTACTTTGTATGCACATTTTCTGTGAGTTGGAACCAATTACCCAATATCCCATTGAAACAATAGATTCAGTTCACAAAATTTTCGGTTAACGAACGACTGTGGAATTAGTTGTGTTCATTAATCGAGGGACGCCTGTTCAAGATTTATGTTGTATCCATCAGCATATCGGGTGTTACATAACTTACCGGTAAAAGTGTTTGACTGTAAATCCCAAAAAATCGTAATGAAGCTTAATCTAGCCTTAGTATATTATTCTGAATGAGGCAAATCTCGTAATTTCTCAAGATAGAAACACATACCTGTAACTGCTTAACCTAAAAACAGATATGTCGAGGATCAATTCCCAATTTATGGGTTGTAGATCTGAGAAATATCATGTGCGAAGGATTAGTGGTCTTTACTTACCATCTACAAGGGCTCTCACATCATCTGGGTGACTGAGGTAGTTTGGATCAATATTTGGATGTTGTTTTGGGTCTTTGGACTTGAGGGTGATGGATCCCCGACTCTTGGGCTGCACAAGGGTTGGTCTCATGCCAAAGGCATTGCTCCCATATATATCCCAGAAGTATTCTTTAAACATCTGAAAAGTTGTTGTTGGGTGAGGCTGGCACTTTGCCTCTTTTGGAAAGATGTATATTGCATTTTTATCATTAATAAGTGGAGAATTGATCTTAAAGCCAAAATGTAACCAAAGTCAGACAGAGTGGTCCATGGTATAGAACCAAGCTAAGTCTTCAGGACTAAAACACAGATGATCCCCTGAAATAGCACCTCTTTACCTATAAGATGATTAGTTATACCTTCCATTTAAAGCAAAAGCTAACAAGTCATACAGTCATATGAGCTGTGTGCTTTACTCTTGTTAATTGTTTGGTCATATCCTGAGACAACAACTCAAACACCAGTGACAGTCATTTCACAACATACCCTTGGGAGGAGAGAGGGTAGCTGGGTCACTCAGTCTGGCCTCATTTATAATCTGGGATTTTAGGATTAAATCTTATATTTAATTTAAATGTGTCATGAGAAAGTGTGGAAAAGAAAGTTTCAACTGCTATGTGGCACACACCCTACTAGGGATGAGAGGGATTAAAGCTGATACAGTAAGGTAAAATAATAACTGAAACCCACCGAGTCTGATTGATCTCCTTATTCAGATACTGTAGTGTTTTATAATGATGCTGGCTGATGACTGCATACCTCTTTACTGGGTGAACTTTATGGTCCTGTCTGTCAAAATTCTGCTCAGTAAGTGAGGATGAGAGTCTTAGTAAATGTATAAGCATTACTGTAATGAATAGTGATGGCTCATTTAGAATGAGGCTTGGGAAAACATAGAGACAAGGGGGATTCATCATAATATCCCCTTTTTCTGGTAGAGCTCTTAGCCTACCAGCCCTTCTTAATATGCAGTCTAATAATGACTCACCATAATTGAATCTATTGTACCAACAGATATATTTTTTTGTGCTCAAAGCAGATGATATTGGGCAGTGTTATACAGTATGTGAAAGATGGGTAATGGACTAAAGGTTTATATTAAAACTTTTGTGATATTGTAATTGATAAGTTAAAAGCTTGAGAGGAATGGAAGTCAGAAAACTGGAGATGAGGCAAAAAGTTGAGGGAGGGACTTACTGGCCTATCATGCCCCCACACAGAAGGGTAGAAGCTTCCTTTATCTTCTGTTGCAGCAATACTACTGAAGAAAATTTGTATGTCAGGCCAGTATGGGTCACCTTCCAACACCCTTATCCATGCGTTAATAAATTCTGCATTCACTGTCGTCAAAGGACCTGAGGATCATTGAAGAAAATTCTTAGATCTGAGCCAAATTTTCTTTGGACAATATGCTGTGTGCTTTGATCACAGACTTCCAAAGGTAATCACCTTAAAAACACCATTACAGAACTGTATATGCACTTATCATTGCTCATTTTTTATTCTACACTGAGAATCATGACAAATGGATTACAGTACAGTATACAGTTCAGGCAGTCCCCGATTTATGAACGGGTTACGTTCATGGACTCTGTTCATAAATCAGAACAGTGTCAATTCCATAGGTTAGGTTGGGTTAAAACACAAACCTGCTCATGCAAACAACAATAATATCTAATACATAATAAATAATGTAACTACCCATAAATATTGTAAAAAAAAGTAATGTTAAACAATATAAAGTACTGTAATATAAAAAGACAAAATTTTAATTACAGATTTTTTAATGAATATACAGTATTTGGATCCCATTCGTAAGTGTGGGCGTTCGTAACTTGAGGACTGCCTGTATTTAAATTAACAAAACCAATATAATTCCTCAGCTGAGCTAAGATGGCATACCTGTGTTATGTTTTAACAATCCCAAAGATAAATTAATGTAACTGGTTAGTCTTTGTGAATGTATATTACCAAGATATCCCCAAAACTAATAAACCAATTTAATTGAGGCTTCATACACTTGCAGGGTAATTCTGAGACAAAATCAGAGTTTTCATTAAAGTTAGATCAGTTAGAGTCAAGCCAACATTAGCAAGACCTGTATGTTGGATCCTGTGCTCTTCAGTGTACAGTTTGAGGTTGGTCATGTGTGGAGGCAACATGTGAAAAACGTCATCCATATAATGAGGGAAGCATTAACACAGGTGGTGCTTCAGGTGTCAACAACCTGAGATGACCACAGGAAGTATTGAAATATGACAAAAGAGAACACAGTTCAGAAATCTTTATAGATGTCAACAATAACCAGGTCAGTAAGATGTCCCTGCGCCTAAAGAATCAAGTTCTGTAGGTGCTGTGCTGGGTGAACCACTGAGATCTGCTAGACCTAAAGAGCAGCTGACAATACTGACATTATAATATTTGTGCATGAATCTTAAGTAAGAATTGCACTGAACACTTATGTAGTAGAAATTACTGGATCAATTACAGTACTGTTTACACCACTGTATTTGTATTCAACTGCATTGTATACATAGTTATTCTAGTAGATGCCAAAGCATAGACAAATGTATTTTCAAAGAACCTCATACTGTACTGTAATTGTTAATGACTATTTTTGCATACCCTGATTTTGTATCAGCATAAAGTTTTACATATACAGTACAGTACAGTCTCTCCTCGACTTACGACGGGGTTCCGTCCTGACGACCAGGTTGTAAGTCGAATTGGTCGTCCAAAAGGCGAAAATAATACATAGAAATTCTAAAATGGGTGTCTCTTTTTCTTCTCAGCACCACGAGAACTCTCACTTTTACGCTTGCCAGCCATTTTAAAGGGAATTACAAACAAAAATTTTGTCAGTACACAGCGCGATCACTAACGTCAGGACTTGAAAATACATAATTTGAAAAATATTTTATGCTACCACGGCTGTCGTATGTCCGGGTTGTCGTAAGTCGAGTATGTCATAAGCCGAGGAGTACCTGTACTGTATTTGCTAATGATATACTGTATGTTATTTTTAGTTCCCTCTTCTTCAACAAGGTGATATACAGTACAATACAGTACTGTACTACAATTTTAGCTGTGGGGAGGAGAGATTTTTTTTTTTTTAATGATCATTTCAACATTACTGTATTACCATGGTTTTATGCTTATATAAATGCCAGCTTGTATTTTGCATGACTGCTGCCCCTATACAGTAAAAATTACCCCTGAAAGCACTTGTGCTTATAAACAAAGACAATCAATCATGGTCCATAAGTGTCCATCTTGTACACTTCGCAAAGTTGCTGTTCTTTAATCTGAGTTTGTAGTCTAATCACCTCCTATGTCAATTAGTATATGGGACCAAAATTATAAAGAGAATTAAGATATAAGTTAAATACAGTACAGTACAGTACTGTTATAGACTTAATCATCTGTCCTGCTTTCTCAACACTGTACTGTACTGCTTTTAATTCTCCAAGTTGTATAGTGTTGTATCCTTCATGCATGTATCCTTTAGACTCCTCCATGCTATCATCCCTCTAACCTACTCACTATCTCAATTTATCCTTCCACTTCTCTGTTACTTAAACAAAGATATAAAGATAGGATTAAAAAATATAGAAAGGATTATTGAGAGATGAACAAAATCAATATATTAGATACTGGAAGGAATGTTGTATGATGAACAAAAAAGGTTTCTACTAACTGACCTTGTCTGCTGAGCATGTATTGCTTGAAGGCACTGACTGTCTGTAAAGTGCCTGTTAATGGGTTTCCTGGAATTGTCCAGACTAAGCCGTTCACTCCAATATGATCATGGAAGTTCTGGCCAACCCCAGGTACATCAGCTATCACTCTTATCTACAACACATGAAATTGTCAATTTTTAGCGACATTACTGTCCTTTAGATGGCAGGGGTGTCTCTTAGCTGAATAAAATTGTCTAGAATTAGAGAGAATAAAATATGTAAGCACATCACTCCCCTCTAAAGGGTTATCACATCTATCAAGTTAACTACCAATATTGAAGACTACTATAGTGCTTAGTTTTGCTCAGTAACATTACTGGTTTAAGTGATGCTTAATTATGTCCCTCGGCAGTAATGAGAGTAGTAACAAAACATTTAATCTCATGACATTATTCTCCCTATATTGTAGATGTCATTTTTCACAACCAGAGAAAGGTTTGTGTGGAATTACTTTCAAGCCATTTGGTTACTGACTATTAACACTCAACATACATTTTTCTGCTTGCAAATTTACCATCAATAAACATAATCTACACCAAGGATGTATCTTCACTCTGTTTTACAGCTGTTTATTATTGAAGTGGAAATGAACAGTAGTTATTTAACGTTCAGTTAATCTTTCAACCCTGGGGCAGGACAGAAAGGCCCAGCCCCACACAATTCGTCTCCCCTCCCCCCTCCCACCCTCAGCTGGGGGACTGGAAGAGGTGCTCGTTGTGGTACACTCCCGGTGCATCCTACAGGCTCCAACACCCGAACTAAGCCCAAGCCTAAACTCCTGTTGGGGGCCGCACATTCAAGTACCCTTACTTAGATCCCTACTAATCAAGGTTTACGATCCAACTGGGAGGAGCTCCAGTTACTCCTGATCAAATTCTCCCCTGTATGCATTTGTCTCCAGGAGACAATGTTAGGAGCCTATGATCATCTCCCTCCCAGAGGTTATTTGGCTTTTTACTCTTCATAATCCAAAACAGGCACATCATGGGGGCACAGCCATCCTTGTCTCGGACAAGTGTGGTGTACCCTCTAGCCCATTATCCATCACTTCCCTGTTGCAGGCAACAGCTTACAAGATTCACCTCCAACGTACCTATACCCTTTGCTGCCTTTACCAGGGAGGGTTTGATTTAATTAATTAATCAACTTCCTTCTCCTCGTCTTATCCGAGGTGATTTTATTGGAAGGGATACCTCTGGGGTAATACAATGGTTAATTCAAGGGGTGACTTGATAGTTTCGATTATTGAAGAAATACTGGTGATATCACCCACTATCATGTCCAGACTGACACGACTACAACCATAATCTCTCATTGTGCTTAGCAGACTGTACTGGACTTGAGTGGAGGGTAACAGATGACCTCAGAGGAAGTGACCATGACCATTACCCTATCTTACTTTCCTCCCCAGAGGTCCTCCCTACACTGTAATTTCCCTGTTGGCAGTTAGACAAGGCAGACTGGGACTTGTTCAAGGAACTAGCAAAGGTAGACAGGTGCATTGAAGAAATTCCCTCTGTAGATGAAGCGGTTGAATACCTAGCCACCCTCCTCCAATGGGCTGGTCACTGTTCCATTTCTTGGACCTCTGATCATGAAGCTAATGTTAAAAAAAAAAAACAGTCAAAGCACTTTACAATCACATAAAAAAAAAAATCACTTCACAGTCATCTAAGCTTAGTACAACCTGAACATTAGTGATACAGTATACGGTAAGGAAAAAACGAAGATGATAAAGTAACAACAATGATACTGACCGATAATTGTTGAGTTACATGATCTTGGGCAGATGCATCACCATGGAATAAAGCATGGACTGTAATGCAATGGGTGGCCGTGTGGCAGCACCTGAGTAGATGATGCTGCAGCTGACAAGTGCAAAGTGCAGCATCACCAATACTTAGTACATGTACAGTGCAGGGGTCCCCGACTTACGAACGCCCGCTGATACGAATGAGGTTAAAGTTTAAATTTACAGTATTTTATTTACCCGATGACTTTTTTTACTTTAATTTTTTATTTTTTTTTATTTTTATTTATTTTTTTTTAACTAGGATGAGCCCACCCTGGCACAGGTCACTGACCCACATCGGGGCCTGGGGGGCAAAAATGTAATAATAATAAAAATAATACTAATACTAATAATAAAGACATACAAACAAAAAATCAAGAGTGAGAAACAATATACATGTATGTATGTTGTCTTGTCAAAGTATGAGAAACAATTGAAACCCTGCAATTGTGTGTATCTAAGGACTCAGTCTATGATATAGTGGGATTTAAACATTGTTCTGTAAGTACGGTATGCACATAGCATGTGTTTCAATTTACGTGCATTTTCAACTTAAGAACATCCTCAGGAACGGAACCCGTTTGTAACCCAGGGACCCCCTGTATATGGTTCACAGTCATCACCTAGGTGTGTCAGTTTGGATGGTTCACAATCCACAGTCGTATTTTTACACCGTGCTGGACAGCTGGTCTAAGTTACTTACCTGGTGGTGTTGTAGGTGGTGGATGGGGCCAACCCCAGAGAGCATTAGGAGCTTGGGTGAGGCAATGGCACCTGCAGACATCACCACCTCCCTGTTGGCCAACACCTTCAACACCTGCATCATATATACAGTAGAGTTGGAATTATTATTTTTTATTCACATCAATGTACAGTACTTGTATGTTGCCCTAATGAGCAGGGATTAGGTTTGGTTGACTTTGCTGTGAAATTATATTCTGTACGTATAATTTTTTTTATGTAGACATGGAAAGAAATGAGAAACAGCTAAAAGTTTGGAAAGTGTAAGCATTGAAGATGTCTGAAATTAACTTTATCCAGGTATTGCTATCATGTTAGATTAAATAGGCTCAGAGATTATATTGAATTGATGTACAATACTTCAGATTCACTGTATGCTACTAATCTAATTTGATGACCTGTATTATTGACTATGTGGTGTTATAGGGATGAGGGGATAACAGCAGAAATATTAATGGGCAAAGTTGAGGGTCGGAGGGCCAGTGGAAAGCAGAGACTAGGATGGATGAATTACTGTAAATTAAAAACTGGGTCTCAAGAGAGATGCAAAATCTTGGAGGTTTGGTAAAAACAGCCCAAAAACATTTAGAGTGGAGGACTGTGGTCGCCAACCCTCAGATGCTACTGTACTGTACAGTACTTTGGTTGATTGATTGATGTATAATCTCTTGTTTAAAATTAAATTTATAATGTGTTTCATTGTGAAATTTTTCATTCAATAGCAATTTTACTAAAGTAAATTGAAGGCCTTTCAAAATTGATTTTTTCAGTTTCTTATCAGTTACATGATGAAATACACCAGGACTAATACCTTATTTTATACCACATTTCACTGGACAGAACAGGATAATTCGGGTTTGGTAAAGTCTAAGATGAGGCATTAACATGAAGTTATTAGCCCAATTGGCTGGTAAGCATTTTAAGGCATAATTGGTGTACTGTGATGACAATTTTGATATAAAGTGTCCCTTTTTTCACAAAAATTTGACTGGTCTCTACATAAAACTGATCATGTATGTAAACATAATTCATCCTTCAAGCAGCAAGCATTGGTACTAACCTAATCTTATTTGACCTACCAGTAATATTGTACTTTATTGTACTGACTGTACTGTACAGGTAAGTTTGGTTATGTTAGTACTGCATAGTGAAGGACGTCTTAAATGGTATTAAATAAATTTTAATGGAACAGTACAGGTTTCCTTTGAGTTCTAACAACACAAAAAAAAAATCACCTATTTTTAGGCAAGAATCAGTTTCATTTTGGGATTGATAGGATGATTTCCCTTAAAACTTATCTTAATAATAATAATAATAATAAACGGTTTATTAATAGAGTTGCAGCCGGTGGCTGGAAATATACAGACTTACATTTGTGTGTTTGTGTGTGTGTAAAAGTTTCTTGACAGACGCCAAGAAAAATTAAAGGTAGAAAATGTTCAGTAACCTGACTGCTTAGATGACTTCAGTGTAAGTGTCTTCTCCAGTACATTTGTGATGATAATATCTAATAATTGTTACTGTGTTAATATCTTTTGAACAGAAACATGCTAAAAAATACATTAACACATTAAATATGCTAATAACCCCTGTACTGTATGTATAGACATAGGAGGCAGGTCTATTTTACCTCACTTTGTTGGGTCCATCGCATCATGTCTTTCGACTATAATACAAAAACGTGGAATTTGTAAATTTTTATTACTTCACACTCACCATGTTTCTATCAGCATAATTTCTTATGGCTTGGACCTTTGATTTTCACTCAGCCCCACCCTAGAAAGTAATGTGCTACCTTAATAATTTTAGTTATGGAAATGATGGTCTGAGGCTCTCGGTGGCATCTTTTTTATTGGGTCCAAACACGTTTTTTACTTACTTACTTTTATCCTCTTCACCACTGATTGAGCCCGTTTGGGCGATCGGTCACGTCTCTGTCACGCACTGTTGGCAAGTACTAGGCATGTACTGGCTCTCCGTTATGCACTGTTGGCAGGTACTGGGCATGCACTGATTCCTGAATGTACCTGAACCTGCTCCAGTGTTGGTCAAGTCTGGTCTTGAAAGAACTCACACTCGGTGCCGTCACAACACTTTCTGGCAGATTGTTCCAAGAGTTCGCAACTCTCACTCCGAAAACGTTTGCCCTCACAGTTTTCTGGACTTGCGGCTTCTTCAATCTTGAGCTGTGACCCCTTGTGGGGTGAGCGTCTGCGAACTCCAAGTAAGGACACTTGACTGAGTAGTGCCCCTTGAGATGCTTATACACCTCAATTAGGTCGCCTCTTGCCCGCCCGCAGTATAAGTGAGGCAAGTTCAGGCGCTCCAATCTCTCAGGGTAGTTGAGGTGGCGAAGTGCAGGCACTAGTCTGGTGGCCCTCCTTTGAACATTTTCAACCAACTGACAGTCCCTAGCATATCTCGGGGACCACACGGGGTGACAGTACTCCAGATGGGGAAGCACTTCACTCTTGAAGATCGTTATAAGGGACGTACCGTCTAGATATCTCAACGACCTTCTTATAAGATCCAATAATTTATTTGCATGATTTACTTTCTTCTCGCAGTGGCCCGAGAACTTCAGCTCATTGTCAACATACACACCTAGGTCCTTCTCACATTCAGTCTCAAATAGTGCAGTTTCTTCATCCCGTTGGGGCATATGATACGCCTCCTTACCGTTAGTATGCCCCAGGTGCATCCTCTTACACTTCATGACATAGAATCTCAGCAGCCATTTCTTTGACCATTTTTGGATCTCACAGAGATCCTTCTGCAGCTCTTCACAGTTCGCTTGGTTCTTGATTTCCCGAAATAACTTGGCGTCATCAGCAAACATTTGTTTGAAGGAGTGTACAACATCAGGCATGTCATTTATGAAACAAACAAACAACAGCAGGCCCAATACACTGCCCTGTGGTACCCTGCTTGTGACAGGTACAGATGATGATTTCGTGCCATTAATCACCACACACTGCTTGCAGTCTTTTAGAAAGTCTTCTATACACGCAAGGACATTTCCCCGAATTCCGTACTGTTTTAGTTTAATTTTCAGCCTTTCGTGTGGTACTGTCGAAAGCCTTGGCAAAATCTAGGTATATATTGTCGATATTACCACCCCGTTCCAGAATATGGGTCCAAATATCCAATGCCTAGAGCAATTGTGTTAAGCAGGAGCGCCCCGACATAAAACCATGTTGGCATTCCTTTACAAGGTTGTTTCGTAGCAGATGTTCCATCGCAGCAACTCTGATAATACTTTCAAGTACTTTGTATATTATGCTGGTCAGGCTCACCGGTCCATAGTTGTTCGTGGAGTGACGATCGCCCTTCATGAAGATAGGACTCACATGAGCCATTTTCCAATCACTGGGGAACCTTTTGTTCATCCAGGCATTTACAAAACAGGATCTTCAGGGGCTTGACAAACTTATTGCACAACTCTTAGCACTCTGGTATGCACCATGTCAGGGCTGGGACTATTATGGACCTTTAGCTTTGACAGTTTATATCTAATATCCTCTTCTGTGAACACAATGTGGGTCAGTGCTGTGCCGTACCGTCTGTCCTCAAACACAGGAAGGTTAATCACATCCTCTCTTGTGCACACATGGGAAAAGAAGCTGTTTAATGCCTCAGCTTTATCCTGGTCAGAATCTGCATAACTACCATCTTCAAGCCTCAGTTCTGATACTCCTACTCGTGTTTTTAATTTCGACTTTGCATAGCGGTAAAACGCCTTTGGGTTTGACTTGACCTCTCTTGCAACCAGCCTCTGGAACTCCTTTTCAGCCTTTCTACACTTTGCCTTTGCTTGGTTTCTGGCTCTTGCATACATCCTCCTGTCCTGCTCATCGTTTGACCCAACCCACGTCTTGAATTTCTGGGTTTTCTTCTTAACTTTATCGACCGCCGCATGGTTCATGTGTAGGGATCCCCTCGTATTCCTAGAGGCACTGGGTTTGGTCTTGGGTATATATTTATCGATCAAATGGGTCACTTTACTAGTTATGATATTCAGAGTAGTGTCTGCGTTCTTGTGCCTTAATGAATCAGGCCAGTGGATACCCCTCATCTCTTCCCTCATCCCATTGTAATTTCTCATGAAATATTTGCACCTTGGCCTGGCCTTATCTTGGATTAGGTAACAGTTAAATATGAATGACAACACTACAGTATATGGTGACTGGTGCCAATTGGGGCAAGGTGTTCCAGTTTGGCCACCATACCCTCCTCGTTTGTTATGAAATTTAGTGGCGTGGGTGTTTGCTCCCCTTTGTAAAGTATCGGGTCTCTAACATGTTGGAACAGAAAATTATCTCTTAGAGTTTCTACAAAAAGAGTAGCAGGGTTATTCAAGTCACTTGGGGTGAACTCGTTTCTCCAGTCGATGTCGCCATAGTTAAAGTCCCCCATGATAAGGAGGTGGCTAGGGTTAAGCATCGCTGCGTTGTCTATAAAGGCTCTTAAGTTCCTTTGATTTAGTGGGCCACAGTTTGGGGATCTGTAGATACACCCAACAATAAGTAAGTCCCCCCTTTAAGTTAAATTTACACCACTTGCACCCTTCAAACACATCCTCTCCCTGTCCCTCGCCTGGCTGGCTCTAAGGTCTTGCCTAGCATAGATAACCACACCCCTCTTGCAAATTTCTTGAGAAAGGTTCGTAAATGAGTCATATCCAGCTATACTGAACTCACATTCCTCTGGGTCGATTCTCCTGTTCTTGTACAACAGTTCTACAAATCCTACAATATCGGGTTGCTGCACCTTCAGTAGTGTTTCAAACTCCTCTCTCTTATCAAGGAACATGTCAGTATTAGTGTACATGACATTCAAGCCAGAATTTGTTCTCTGTAACGCCTCTGCTCTTAGTAGTAACCCCGCCCTCCCCATTCTCAGAAGCTGCAGCATTTGCTAAGTACACTATATTTTGCAGGGTGTGGTTAGAAATGCCAACCTGAGACCTCCCTGAGGGAAGATTAGACCGACTGACACTACTTCTATTGTAGAAATTAAATCTATGCTTACTTGCCACAAAGACTGAGTTGGACCATATAGTTACAGATGTTTTATAAGGTAAGAATGTTCTCCTTTTCTTAACAGTTTTGGGTGTGTTTACATATGTAACTTCCTACTCATTTGGTATAAGTACCTTCTCATGGCTGTAATCCATTCTGTATTCAACTGGTGTTATCTGGCAAGCCGGGGGTCAGGCCAAAGTTTCTAAGCTTCATTGTCAAAGTGCTATTCTGATTTATTTGGTAATTCGGGAGGTGGTATAGTGATGATGTAATATACGACTCGTGTCATGATAATGCCCTCAGTATTTCGCACCGATGGATTGGTCAGGCTTGTGTAAAATATTTCTTATCTTGTATTGTGTATTTTTTCATGTTCTAGCTAGAAATGTAGACTGGTCCATCAGGAGGCATGTTCCTTGTGTCAGGACATTTTTCAGTGAGGATCTATGAGTCACATTTCCCTAAATTTTTGCCAACACCTAATGTGAAGCCATATTTTGCATTTAAGAGCACTTTCAAGGGTCTTCCCAAATAAAACTTTTGAAAGATAGTTAAAGGTCTCATTATTTTTTATTCTCAGTGTTTTTATTGATTAGAAAATGCAATTTGTTTCACTTGCAGTCTTAAGATATGTAGCTAGTTAGCTGTGTTTATTAGTCTTCTAAATATAAAGAACGCTCATCATTTCAGATGAATCAGGTTTTAGTTTGAGCTCTGGGTCAATCCAAAGCTATTTTCTCTGGGCCAAATTGGGTTAAGTGACCAGTTCATTTTACTAGTTTAGAAAAAGTGGCTAGGCTCTCTGCATTAATCCTGTAACAAATTTTGGAATCTCTTAGTGGATGAGTTAATTATGTTCATTTTGCCTAGTTTCTAATAGAGAAACATGCTTCTTTTACTTTGATCAACTCCATGGTCCTATACTGCCCCAGTGAATTTGGGGGAACACTAAATTTCAAAATTAATAAAAAAAAATCCGAAAAAAGGGCATTGCCCTTATTCTCAACAGAAATCAATGATTGAAATATTAATAGAATATGCAAAAAAGTAAAAAAATACTTTTCTTAGAAAAGGTAGGGTCATTTATATCATGGTGAGACTCGACGAGTCTTTTTAAGCATGGTTGAAACAAGGTCCTAAATGTTGAGGTCCATTGGTGTTCTGCTTACAATGGAAAATTGGAAATATTTGGTACCGAACTAAAGACTGACATCTTTAAAAGGAAGATGTAACTGGATGTTGTGTCAGGACGTGACTCAGCGAACTTCGCGTGCCGAAGGTCATATACAGCTATTCCCTGACTTACGACCTACTCGACTTACGACCACCCGATACGACCGCCTCAGACGTACCAAAATTTTGTCAAATTATGTATTTTCGAGTCCCAACGTCAGTGATTGTGCTGTGTACTGACAATATTTTCGTTTGTAATTCACTTTAAAATGGCTGGCAAGCTTAAAAGTGAAATTTTTGTGGTGCTGAGAAGAAAAAGAGACACCCATTTTAGATTTTCTATGTATTATTTAAGCATTTTCGACTTACGACCTGGATTTGGGTCCCTAACCCCATCGTAAGTCGGGGAGCAGTTGTAGTAGATACAGTATTCTTAACCACAGATGACTAAAAAATCTGTTCTTGACAACAAGTTCAGGATGATTATTACTGAGTGGGTCATTTGGAGCTACAGGAGGGACCTTTGAATATATTCCTAACTTACTGTTAGATTTTTTTTTTTTACCAGTTTGAAGCAATTCCTTCCGGGTTGAAAGTGGTTCCGAGCATCAATACTGTACTAAGTTGCCTGGGATCTAGTTAGCTTCAGGGTTTCTTATGTCACGTTTAGTGGTTGTATCTCCAGTGAGACACTAAATCTGGCTTAAATCATTTGGATTCCTAACTGAGATTTCAATATTTCGAACTACACCTAAACCCCGACTTACGACGGGGTTAGGGACCCAAATCCAGGTCGTAAGTCCGATATGGTCGTAAGTCCGATATAGATAAATAAAAAATCTACAATGAAATACAGTACAGTAAAAGTAATGAATAATGATGAATGGATACAGTACAGTGAAAGTAATAAATAATAAGGAATGGATACAGTGTGACTGAGCACTTAACCTTTAATGTAGTCAGCTGAATGCACATGGGGCCCCCATAATTTTCTAATTATACATGGAGACTACATTAACTGGAAACGTTTCGGTATAGAAAATGCGTGTGTCATTTAAAAAAAAAAATTATCTATATCTGAGGCGGTCGTAAGTCCCGACGGTCGTAAGTCCACGTAGTCGTAAGTCGGGTCTAGGTGTATCGTATGTGTTACCGTGTGCCGGAAACGAGTGTTGGCTGGAAAAGGTTACATTTTACAGGTCACGTGGTATGGTTAAGCAAACTTTTCCAGTGGTTTGATGTTATAAGAATGTTTACACAATATACAGTATATAAATTGTAGTACTGTACTATATACAGAAAAGTTCTGAAATACATTGAGAGTTTTCATTGCAAATATTGTTTTCGAGTACAGTACTGTATTTCGTTAAAATATTCGTGAAATATACTCACCTTTCCGTTGTACTCAAATTTTACTCCAATTGCCATTTTGCGCTCGTCGAATAACACCTGAAATTGTAAAGCGAAAATTTTATTTGGCAGTAAACTACTGTAGATGTAAGATTGTACATTACTGATTATTTTAAGGTAGATCACAAAATTATTAAAAAAGACACCAAAATAACGCTAGACTCTTCAGATATGAAAATTAATAATAATAAAGAACCATAGATAAATACACACACAAAAAAAATTAATATTGAGAAATTGTGTGTAAATGAGACAAAAAGTCAGATCAGCAACCTGGGACTTGGTCACAATTTTTGTGATGCCATATGGCAGCAGGGTCTACCATGAGACAATACATTATGCTTCCAGTATCTTCCTGTTTTATATTACTTCCTACAACATAAAATGTCTTAGATTCGATGATGTTTTTTTACATTTTATGCTTTAACGCAAGGCAACCAGTTAAGTACAGTACTGTATACTGTACAGTATATGTCTTCAGTTTTGAAAAATATTCGTCTAAGGAACTTTTGAGAATTGTGAACCTGTTTATTTCACTTTTCAAAGACTAATTCAAATTTATTGCCATGTAGACTTAATCAAACAGTTTACTGTACTGTATAAATGATGAGAGAATATAAATGTATACAAAAATACAGCACGAGAAGGATTTTCAAAGATCTTTATATGAAATTTTCCTCCGAGCTGAGAAATCGAGAATACAACTGGCTTACTGAGGATACGACAACAAATGTATAGACAAAATGATATCAACCTTACCTGAAGACTCTTATATTGCTTATAGGTAACATGAACGTAGATTATCTGAGAATAAGGGGACTCTGACCTGCAAGACGGTGGCACTGTGGAGGATGTGTAGGTTGGGTCTGAAGGACGCTGGGTGGAGGTAAGCCTCTGCTGTGGAGCTCCTGACGCCGCCCTTGATGGTGTATTGCGAGAACGAGAAGCCTGCGGAGTAAATAGAGGATATTGGGGACACCTTGACGTGGATCATGTGAAGGTCATACCAAGTACTACCAACATACCTACCAAGTACTCCCAACATACTTACCAAGTACCACCGCATACCTACCAAGTACTACCCCCCTACCACAAAAACACCTTTAAACACTCAACTGTGTAAGACATCACTGGCGGTTAAGTTTACGCTTGTAAACACACACACCAATCACATACTCACCAATCTCGCCATGGCTGTTGATGTCTATGGTAGGGTAGCCCAGCTGATGACCTGCCTTGAAGAAGGTCTTGGTGAGGGGCCCTACAGAACCTGGGGTCACTCCAAGGGGACCACTGTGACCCTGGAGCGAGTCTGCCTCACGCACATAAAGAGATAGAGAGGTTTAGGGTATTTATGCAGTATAACTCATCTCTCTTGCCCACGTATTATACAGTATAACTCTCCTCCCTTGCCCACATATTATACAGTATAACTCTCCTCCCTTTCTCACATATTACAGCTACTCCTCGACTTACGACATACTCGACCTACGACCACCCGCACATACGACCGCCATAGTCGGTACGACCACCCGTACATACGACCGCCACAGTTGGTACAACCACCCGCACATACGACCGCCACAGTCAGTACCAAAATTTTTTCAAATGACGCGCGTATTTTCTAGACCGAAACGTTTCCGTCCCGTACGAGAGCGTCGCGTGGGCTGGGTCGCCTCGTGGCTACAGCACCCACGCCGTAGAGCACTTAGTTGGTGTTTGGCTGTCGTTGTTGTCGATAGCGATCGCGCTGTGTACTGATAATATTTTCATTTCTAATTCACTTTAGAATGACTGGCAAGTGTAGAAGTGAGAGTGCTGGTGGTGCTCAGAAGAAAAGAAGACAGTCAATTACTTTTGAGACGAAAATGAAGATAATACAGTGCGGTAGTAATGCAATATGAAAATGGAAAAACGGTAGCAACCATTTCACACGACCTAGGCTTCTTGCACTTGACCATATCAACAATTTTGAAGGCCAAGGAACGTATTCATAAGGTAGTGAAAGGATCAGCACCTATATAGGGAACAATAATAAAAAAAAAAGACAAAGTCCTATTCATGAGATGGAAAAATTACTTGTGATATGGACGGAAGACCAGATACAAAAGCGTGTACCCTTAAGCCTTCTAACCTTACAGGATAAGGCAAGAAGCCTTTTCGAAAGCCTGAAGGAGCAGGCAGGAGATGAGTGCGACCAAAACTTAACAGCAAGTCATGGGTGGTTCCAAAGGTTTAAGAATTGCTGCAGTTTGCATAGTGTAAAGGTGAGTGGAGAGGCAGCAAGTGCTGATGTGGGTGCTGCCGAAGCTTTTAAGGAGGAGCTAGATCGTGTCATCATGGAGGGAAATTATTTGCCTGAGCTTATTATGGAAGCGCATGCCAGAACGGACATACATCCACAAAGAGGCGAAAACAATGCCGGGATTCAAGGACCAAATCACACTTCTGTTGGGGGGAAATGTAGCTGGTTTCAAGATAAAGCCCTTCATGATATATCATTCAGAGAACCCAAGGGCTTTTAAACATGTCAGCAAGCACACACTGCCAGTCTTTTATCGCAATAACAAGAAAGCATGGATGACCCTAGTACTATTTGAGGATTGGTTCCTGACTTGTTTCATTCCACTAGCCAAGGAGTATATTGTCTGCAACAAGGGATTGCATTCAAGATTTTGTTAATTTTGGATAATGCTCCAGGACACCCACCACACCTGGACGACCTGCAACCTGATGTTACAGTAGTCTACATTCCACCTTACACTACCTCTATCATCCAACCCATGGATCAAGGTGCTATTGCTGCTTTTAAAGTGAATTATTTACGTACGACTTTCACTCAGGCTGTTACTGCTACTGAAGGTGAGAAAACGCTCAGAGAGTTTTGGAAGGACTACAACATTTTGAAATGTATAAAGAACATAGCTGCAGCATGGGATGAGGTTACAGGTCAGTGCATGAATGGAATATGGAAGAAAGTCCTGAAAAGATATGTGAACAGTTTCAGAGGATTTAATGAAGATGAAGTAATTTCTGCCATTAGTAACAAGATAGTGCAGATGGGTAAACAGCTGGAGTTAGAAATTGATAATGAAGATGTTGAGCAGTTGGTTGAAAGTGTAGCAGAAGAGCTAAGTAACGAGGATCTTATTGAACTGGATGCACAGAAAATTGCAGAGGAAGAAGAGAGTAAAAATGTAGAAGAAGAGCCTGCAACCCATTTACTTTTACTGTACTGTATTTCATTTTAGATTTTCTATGTATTATTTTTTGCATTTTCGACTTACGACCTGGATTTGGGTCCCAAACCCCGTTGTAAGTCGAGGAGCAGCTGTATACAGTATAACTCACCTCCCTTGCCCACATATTATACAGTATAACACACCTCCCTTGCCCACATATTATACAGTATAACACCTCCCTTGCCCACATATTATACAGTATAACACCTCCCTTGCCCACATATTATACAGTAAAACTCACCTCCCTTGCCCACGTATCGTCCGCAGTAGTCTTGGGCCTTGATGAAGTAAGGGAACACAGAGTGGTAGTCCCAGCCCGGGTTACCTTGTGCCGCCCATCTGTCAAAATCCCTCCTGTTACCCCTCACGTAGAACATACCGTTGATAGCAGACGACCCTCCCAGTGTGCGGCCCTGGATCAGTCGACCTGCCTGAGGGAGTTGTCGTGTTACATCACTGTGTTGTGTTGATACGTGTTGTTGTTGTTCCCCATCATCTCCATCATGAATATACATTAAATGTTCCTGATTGTCCCCGTTCGTGCGTGTGTGTGTGTGTTTGGCAAGAAAAAATATCAAAGGGTTCATATGAAACTTGAGACTTCAAGTCGGTTTTTGCTGTGTGACGGCCAAACATCCATGACCTGGTGGTGACTTTTTATCACAGACAAGCCAGGCAAAAACAGCAGTACAAAGTAAAGAAAAAGAAAGATGCCAACGTACCCTGTTGACGAAAGCCTTGAGTCCGTGTCTCTGAGGTACAGTGGTGTAGTCCCAGTCGACGTCATTACCAGGAAGGAAGTTGAGGGAGAGTAAGCCGGGGATGGAGGTCTCAGGGGGTGGAGGTCCTCCAGCCTCCAGCAGCAGCACCCGCCACTCTGGCACCTCTGATAGTCTTGCCGCTAGCACGCAGCCTGCTGTACCTCCACCAACTGAGGGAGAGCACCGTAACTTGTGATAAAAGTAATTAAGAACTTCACTCCCGCTTCCAGCACTCACACCTTTTAGTTTGGTGTCTTGCTGTATGAAAATACAGGGATGAGAAGTTTTAATATGTAATAGTCTTATAATATGAACATAAAAACTATTAATATTTGTAATCAAACATCGTAAGACTTGTTGTTTACCTTATGACTTTCAATAAGACTTACAAAGATTGCTCTTATAGATATCGCATGGACGAGTGGAGTAACTAACGTACAGATACAGTATAAATGTTGGGAGACTGCAACTGAAAGACATTATATCGGAGTAATATTAGAGAACTAGACTGATGGGAACTTAGCGTTGAAATCGTGTGTGTGTGGATAATATAGATATTATATTAAGAACAAGATCAGGAAGCTGACGAATAATGACGTCGTTACCTGGAGTTAAGCAACTTGAAAATAGACGGACGGACGGACGAACTTACAAAAGGAGGGCAAGACAGATACGAAGCGAGAAGATATAGCGTTGCATTAGGTAGAATACTGACCTATAATGAGGGGGCAGTAATTAGACGGACAGAACAACAAACACATAGGCAAATAATAAAAAAAAATTACACATTAAAGAGAACACATGAAGATTTACGCCTGTATTATTAAACATCTTCCCTTGAAGAGTGTCGTCGCGTTTCAACCCGAGTTTTAAACTAAATGAGTCCTGAGGGACACCGCAGTACAGTACTTAACGGAGTGTTGTGGCGGTAAAATTAACTAATTCCAATATAATTAATTTATAATATTGGAATTAGTAAATTTTACCGCCACACCAGCCTGGTAAGTATTGTACTTGTACTGCGGTGTCCCTCAGGACTCATTTAGTTTAAAACTCGGGTTGAAACACGACGACCCTCTTCAAGGGAAGATGTTTAATAATACGGGCGTAAGCATCTCAGGTTATTTCACTTGAAGATTAACGATTTTAAACCTACTTGGGAAGATAAGGTTACGGTAGGTTAGCAAAGGTGATTAATCTTCAGGTGAAATAAGCTGAGGTGTCTTAATCATCTGGAGTTCCAGGAAGATAAATTACATATTAAAGCAACAAGAAACCAAGGAACTGACCGATGATAAAGTCGTAGTGGGTGGCGATGGTTCTCGGGGGTAGGAAGGCGTTCTTGTTCGCCTGAGGCACCACAGAGAGCAGCAACAGACGCACCAGTGGCAGTACTAAGGCGGTAGCCACCCTCGTCGTCGCCCCGCCCACCACGTTGATGTTGATACCGAACACCATGCCTGTAGGCGGACAACTTTGGATATGTCAAGAGTAGAAATACCATCGTCGGCTTATGTTTATTTTGTTACCAGGAGAACCTTGTGTGTGAGGGTGGAGGAGAACCTTGTGTGTGAGGGTGGAGGAGAACCTTGTGTGTGAGGGTGGAGGAGAGAACCTTTTGTGTGAGGGTGGAGGAGAACCTTGTGTGTGAGGGTGGAGGAGAGAACCTTTTGTGTGAGGGTGGAGGAGAACCTTGTGTGTGAGGGTGGAGGAGAGAACCTTTTGTGTGAGGGTGGAGGAGAACCTTGTGTGTGAGGGTGGAGGAGAACCTGTGTGTGTGAGGGGTGGAGGGAGAACCTTGTGTGTGAGGGTGTGGGAGAACCTTGTGTGTGTGAGGGTGTAGGGAGAGAACCTTTGTGTGTGTGTGGAGGGGTGTGTGAGGGTGGAGGAGAACCTTGTGTGAGGGTGGAGGAGAACCTTTGTGTGTGTGAGGGTGGAGGAGAACCTTGTGTGTGTGAGGGGTGGAGGGAGAACCTTTGTGTGAGGGTGTAGGAGAACTTGTGTGTGTGAGGGTGGAGGAGAACCTGTGTGAGGGGTGTAGGAGAACCTTGTGTGTGTGTAGGAGAACCTTGTGTGTGGGGTGTAGGAGAGAACCTTGTGTGTGAGGGTGGAGGAGAACCCTTGTGTGTGAGGGTGGAGGAGAGAACCTTTGTGTGTGAGGGGTGGAGGAGAACCTTGTGTGTGAGGGTGTAGGAGAACCTTGTGTGTGAGGGTGTAGGAGAGAACCTTGTGTGTGAGGGTGGAGGAGAACCTTGTGTGTGAGGGTGTAGGAGAGAACCTTGTGTGTGAGGGTGGAGGAGAACCTTGTGTGTGAGGGTGGAGGAGAACCTTGTGTGTGAGGGTGGAGGAGAACCTTGTGTCTGTACGTTACTACGTCCGTCTGTCCGATAGCTGTTAAAATAATTTATATTAGTCTTGTTACAAGTCACAAGAACTCTTACAATATTTGGCTACAAATAACAATAATTTTCACGATCATATTACAAATAAAGCTTCTCTCCACCAATATTACTGGTGTTAGTGCTGGACAGGGGAGTACAGTTCTTAATTACCTTTATCACGAGTTACGGTTATATTACAAATAAATATTAAATTTGCAGCACAAGGTACAGTGTCACCAGAATGATTGCAGGGTCTCAATTGTTTCTCTTACTTTAACAACACAACATATCTAACTTTTTTCACTCTTGATCCGTTTTATTCTTTCTAGTCGTTTATTATCCTATGTCATCAGTTGACAATAATATTAAAACGTGGCCTTCTCGGATGGGTCACCCCAACACCGAGATCCTCTACCTAGGGGATTTCAATGTACATCACAGAGTGGCTTGGCTCTGGAAGGGTGGAGCTGAGGCATTATCTCTTTCCTTACGTAATGATCTGGAACAACTAATTAAACACCCTACACGTGTTCCAGATCGACACGATCAATTTACTAACATTCTTGATCTTTGTTTTACCTCTAACCCCTCACACTATTCATATTCGATTTCCGTCCCCTTAGGGGTCTTACGATCACAATCTTATTTTTATTAAATCAAACTGGGCACGATCATCTCCCCCCACCCTTCTAAACACCAACTATGGCACTATCGGAGGGCACACTGGTAATCCTTGCAAGAATTCTCCGACTTTCCCTGGGATGAGCGTTGCTTTTCTATTCGGGACGCCTTGGTATGTGCTGACAGCATTGCTTGGGTTATACTGGGTGGTACGAGTGCATTTATCCCATTCACCAAAACTTTCACTTTACAATTATGGTTTGATCGCTCGTGTTCTATTGCACATAGGGAAAGAGATAGGGCGTATCAAGTTATGAAACTATCTCCTGTTACTCACTCCTCTTGTATTACTTCTAGGAATCGTTGTAAGGTTATTCTTCGTAAGGCCAAGTAGAGTTTAAAAAAAAGAAAGACCGCTGACCTGACTAACTCTTCTTCTAGTAAATCTTTCTGTTCCTTAACCAAAAACATCTGTATTAACTTCGGCACTCCCTCTTTTCCTATTTGATAACTCTATAGCCGACTCTCCCTCTAATAAAGCCATCTCTTTGGCACCTTATTCTCCTCTAACTCCACCTTAGATAATTCCAACTCTATCCCCCCTACCCCTGCTCCTCCTACGAACCATGCACTTTCCTATAATCTCCAATCGTAGGGTTTCTGGTGTGTTATCCAATTTGGATGTGAGCAAGGCACACGGACCAGACGGAATACCCCCTGTGTTCTGAGGAAGTGTGCTGAAGCTCTGGCCCTGTGCTTGCTCGCCTCTTTCGTCTTTGCCTCGGAAACCAAACTTTTCCTTCTTCTTGGAAGCATGTCTTGGTTCAGCCCATCCCGAAGAAGGGTGACCATTCTAATCCCTCTAACTATCGCCCCATTGCCCTAACTTCATCCGTCTCTAAGATTTTCGAAACTATCTTAAACTCTCATTTTCTCCGTCACCTTGAACGCCATTCTCTTTCGTCAGATCACCAGTATGGCTTTCGCCTGGCGAGATCTAATGGTGATCTGCTCTCCTACTGCACCCATCTTTGGTCATCCTCTTTTAGGGAATATGGGGAAACTTTTGTCGTGGCCCTCATCATCTCCAAAGCATTTGACAGGGTATGGCACAGATCTTTGCTTTCTAAACTTCCCTCTTATGGTTTCTCTCCCCCACTTTGTTCTCTAATTTCTAGCTTCCTTGAGAATCGATCCATGGCAGTTGTTGTCGAGGGGTCGATCTCTCGCTCTTTCTCTACCAATAGTGGTGTCCCACAGGGTTTTGTTCTTTCACCCACTCTCTTCCTTCTTTTTATCAATAATTTACTTCACACTACGACTAATTCTATTCATTCTTACGCTGATAATTCTACTCTTCACTCTTCACATTTTCCCCTTCCCCATAATTCTCAAACTAGATTTGTTTCTAGAGCTGATATCATTACATCTATCAATGCAGATCTGTGCAGCATCTCCGAATGGGGAGGTAGAAACTTGGTTAAATTCAATAGTAATAAAACTCACTATTTACCAATTACACTTTCCAAATTAGATGATCTCCCACCAATCACATTTCAGGACGCAATTATTCTTCCATATTCTAAAATAGATATGTTAGGCATCACCATTTCCTCTAATATATCATGGAAGCCACACATCCTCAACATTGCTAAAGCTGCCTCCCGAAAGCTGGTAATGCTGTACAGATGCCGTAGCTACTTCACTCCTGAGCAGTTGCTTCAAGTATAGAAGGGATTCATTCGTCCTAACTTGGAGTACTGCTCTCATATCTGGGGTGGCTCTTCTTCTGTTCAACTGTTAGATAGGGTGGAATCAAAGGCATTTCGTCTTTTTAACTCTCCTCCTTTAGTCGATAATCTCTCTTGCCTTTCTCTTCGCCTTAATGTTGCTTCACTCTCTCTCTCTCTTTTACAGGTACTTTAACGGGCAATGTTCAGTAGATTTGGCATTCTGTGTACCGCCGGTAAGGCAATGGGCTCGTAACACTCGTCTTGCTCGCGGTGCCCGCCCCGCCGTTTCTGTGTGGATGTCGGTCACATTAGAATAACCCATTATAGTACATCCTTCTTTCCTCACACAGCCAAACTGTGGAATGCTTTGCCTTCCTCTTTGTTTCCATACTCCGGCATCTTCGTGGTGTAGATTAATATGGTATTTTTATCTTCTATTTTTAATTTTCTTTTTATTCTTATTTATCCCTCCCCCCCCGACCTTGTGGATCGATGGCCTGTGGTCGGGTGTGCTATTCCCCGTAAAAAGGAAAAAAAAAAGCTGCCCCATAGTAAAAACTGGCAACAAGTCTTTAATCTGCGTTATATGTTTTTGTTACTGTTTTTATAAGACACCTACACACACATACATGGCCGCACACACCAAGTGAAGGTGAGCGCCACTGTACAACACCACAGTTAGTGAAAGTTTTATGATTTTTGGGTTAAATAATTTGTAGGTACGTTTTTATAACAGGTGTAGGTACCATGATACTGACACTGCATGGTAATTAATGTACCTGTTCTTTATACCGAAATGTGTATTATACGTGTGCTGAAGTTTGTGAACCAAGTTACACTTGTTGCTGGTATATTAAGATACGTCTTACACAGTGATTGGTCGTTAAGATTATCACCAAGGCTTCTCTTTTAACACACTACTGGACTCTTCAGTGGTGACTCGTTACAAGTGGAAAACTCGCCGCTGTTATTTGTGGATGAAAATGGCAGGGAAGAGCAGCGTACTGTTCTTAACTGTGGTAGACACACACACACATATACACACACACAAACATACACACACACACAAACATACACACACACACACAAACATACACACACACACGCGTGCACACACACACGTGACCTTTTAAAGGTTTCCTAATGAGAAAGATGAGTTTGCAGTCCTTATAATAGATGGTAAATTTTACCCCAGCTGGTAGGGTCACCATGTAGGAACAGGAAGTCAGAAATTCGTGGACTCTTCCGTGACACACACACTTACACTGACCTAAGGTTCTTCCTTGCCTCGCCTGTGTTGTTTGACCAGCTCGTGGACATTCACCATCACTGTCATCTGAGTGGTTCATGTTCACATCATCACTGCACCACGACTTCTATGAACAATTCAGGAAAAATACTGTAAGAACCTTTGAGAATGAAGTTTGCGCCGTACCTAACAGCGGCTAGTCTTAGATGTTGTGAAGCCTCCAGTTAGCGGGAAATTGGCGACGGAACCTTTGGGTCATTGTGTTGAAGTAAACCACCAAGACCTATTTTTACATTACTGAAGGGGGCAAAAAACTGCCATACAAACTTTTAATAAAATTCTATGTATTTGGTATTTCTTCTTTATGCTTCCATGGGATTATTTCGTTATATCAATTACAAATCAAGAGTACAGGACTACAAGTACCAGTACAGTAAAAAGATACATCAAAATAATATCGCTTAAGATTGGTATTTTACATCGTGACATCACAACATCGTGTACACTAGACAGTTAATTGTACCATAACATCACTGCTTCTTGTTCACATAGATAACTTACAGTGCACAACTATCACTCATGCGGAATCCATGTACTCGTCACAACATTACAACTGCATGTACACATAGAAAGTTATCACAACAACCTCGTGTACACATTAAAAGTATCGCCATGGTTTCTCCCTTCTCTGTACTTCACTTTCAACTGTTCACATCGCTCAAGCCGTCATCAAAGAACAAGAGGGGAAGTCATTTATCTTCTAGATAACTTCCTCTTTAAGAGTCATTCCCCATGGTTAAGACTACAGCCTGTCTATCTCTCTTGCTGTCTGTCGATCGGTCTCTTGTTTGCCTGTCTGTTGTATTGGTTCTTTTGTTCATCTGTTTGTTCCGTAATTTTTTGTTTGTGTGTTCCATCGTTTTGTTTTGTCTATCTGTTTGTGCCATTGTTTTGTTTTTGTCTATCTGTTTGTTCCATCGTTTTGTTTTTGTCTATCTTTTTGTTCCATCGTTTTGTTTTTGTCTATCTGTTTGTGCCATTGTTTTGTTTTTGTCTATCTGTTTGTTCCATTGTTTTGTTTTTGTCTATCTGTTTGTTCCATTGTTTTGTTTTTGTCTATCTGTGTGCCATTGTTTTGTTTTTGTTTATCTGTTTGTTCCATTGTTTTGTTTTTCTATCTCTCACGCTTCAACTATCAAAGTAAAATTTGTACAGGTTTGTTGTGCAATACGTGCGGCTTAATGAAACCTACCTGTTATTACTCTTGCGATACACGTGAACGTTAAATTGACTGAGTGTGTTCAGTGTGGGAAAGCTGCCACTGCTTTCTCTCTCTCTCTCTCTCTCTCTCTCTCTCTCTCTCTCTCTCTCTCTCTCTCTCTCTCTCTTTCTCATGAGTTTGATCTACACCAGCTATTTCATCTCTCCTTTTTGCCCTTCTCTGTCCATGTATTTCTTCCCTCTGCGTTTTGTAAATACCTCTCTTATCTTTTCCTTCACTTTCCTCTCTCTCTCTTGTACGATGTTACCTCCTCCCTCATGACCCCCCACTCTTCTCTACTTGTGCACTGTTGACACTGGGAAGAGTTGGGACAGCTGTGTGGATCCCTGAGCTCGCAGGACGATTAGGGCCCATGACTTGACCTCCTCCGGCATAAGACACTGAGAGCTTAAGCCATCCTCAAGGGGCGTCTATGAGGGCTCTACCTCCGGTCGTATTGAAAGACGGAACCTCCTTATCATTAGCGACAGTACATCCTCGCTAGCGTGGCCCGTCACCGTCACCGTCATCCAACACATCCTCGTCGACATCACTGAGATAGAGGAAAGTGATAACATCTGTGTCATGTTCCTCTGGCTCCCATCTTACAGAGGAATTGCTGTCTGTGACACTGTTGATCGTCATGCCAAAGAAGCAGCTCACGAAGAGGGCATATAAGCCACCCTCACTCTCTCCCTCAACCATCTCACCTTGACGAATCTCAAACATCAGGGAAGTCACACTGCGGCACTAAGACGCAGTAACCGGACATGAAACCCGCAATTACAAAAAGTATTAGCCCCTGACTCGGTTTCAACACGTTGTGTAAAGAAGACTGCGTCTTAGGGAATACCTTATCAGCCCGGGGCCTGGCCGCATTACATGTATGCGCTGTGACCCGACTTTCATTTCACCCTGGCATATCTTGAAACCTCCTCCCACAGGTGTCCAGCCGTCACCATCACGTCGTCCCTCCATGACCAAATATCCCTCTTCCTTCTCCTTTACACGTGACATTATTAGGGACCTTACACACTCTCATAAACAGATAAATCTGTCCAAGGTATCCTTATTATGTCCTTACTTCAATACCTATAACTTACTAACACAGCCAATAGCCCCTCAGGCACTTACTGTACGTCCTTTCATCATCTAAGTCTAAGAAGGTGTATGCTTCCTCGATGGGCTCTGTAATACTTTAGCCCCAGCGTTTGCGTGGGGGTAAATAATAGGATTCACCTCGAGAATATAATATATACTGAATATCATTGTACAGTAATTTCACGGCAGGCGGTGAATAAAACTCGAATTGTCACTTAAACTTGTAAATTATCCTTTGTACAGGCTGGCAGGTCTCCACCTCTCCAAAAAAGCTTCGTTGCGGAGGGATTAAACAAAACCATAAAATTGACTAAGTGAATTCTTAAAATGAATCAGAATTTTACCCACTGTATCACGGCGCTGGCGTAGGTTTGCGCTCTCTGGTTGAGTGGGAGGCTGGCGGGTCGAACAGCTAACTTCCAGAGTCGACACCAGCTGACTGGGAGCCGAGATCTATTGACCGACTGCCAACGTCTCCCACCGCTCTCCCTTATCATAGTAATCTTGGAGGAAAACACTTGTGTTTTTTTTTTTCTTCTTTTTAGCTGTTACGTCTTTCTTTACTGTATTCCTCGGGTGCAGCCTGTGTACCTTTTCAACACATCGGTTGTTTAATTAATATCGGCATCATCCATAATATACCTGTGTTATTCTCGTTCTTATGATAATTACATTAACAAGTTCCTTCGATATAATATATAAAACTGATCTTTCTACTAGAGTAAAGTAGTGTTATCAATGTTTGTTGTATATACAGTACTTCTTTTCCTTTAAGTCACGAAACACACAAATTCAACTAATATTTTCTTTCTGTACAGTAGTAGGTTATAGCAGTATACCCGCACTGTCTATGTATACCTGCACTGTCTGTGTATACCTTTGCTGTTTATGTATAACTGCCCTGTATGTATACCTACACTATTTACTTTTTACTTTTATTCTCTTCGACACTGATCGAGTCGCTTGAGTGATCGGTCATGTCTCTGTTACGCACTGTTGGCAAGTATTGGGCATGAACTGGCTCCTGAATGCATCTGAACCTGCTCCATGCTGGTCAAGTCTGGTCTTGAAACAGCTCACACTAGGTGCCGTCAAAACACACTCTGGCAGGTTGTTCCAAGAGTTCACAACTCTCACTCCGAAAAAGTTACCTCTCATAATTTTCAAGATTCGTGGCTTGTTCAACCTTGAGCTGTGACCCCTTGTGGAGCAAGCGTCCGCCAGCTCCAGGTATGGACACTCAGTCACTTGACTGAGTAGTGCCCTTTGAGATGTTTATATACCTCAATTAGGTTACCTGCACTGTCTATATGCACCTGCACTGTCTATGTATACCTGCACTGTCTATGTATACCTGCACTATCTGTATACCTGCACTGTCTATGTATACCTACAGTATTCATGTATACCTGCACTGTGTATGTATACTTGCACTATGTATACCTGCATTGTCTATATACACCCATTAAAAAGAGTATCGCGACCTTAGGATCCTATGGAAATAAGAAAGAGCAAATACGAACAGATACAGATGTATGTACGGTCCTGTATGTTATTACGAACCACGCCATCAATTGTCCTGATCTACCTACCCAGCACTACGAACCACGCCATCAATTGTCCTGATCTACCTACCCAGCACTACGAACCACGCCATCAATTGTCCTGATCTACCTACCCAGCACTACGAACCACGCCATCAATTGTCCTGATCTACCCACCCAGCACTACGAACCACGCCATCAATTGTCCTGATCTACCTACCCAGCACTACGAACCACGCCATCAATTGTCTTGATCTACCCACCCAGCACTACGAACCACGCCATCTAGGGACGAAACCCGAGTATGACTACTCTTAGTTACCACTCCCGGGTTTCCCTTCTCTATATCCTGGTTGTTGCGTCACCTCCTCAAAGTCTTCTTTGTCAGCTCCAGTTCGAGGAGAGGGCAGTTCACTCTGGGAAGTGACCACAGGACCACATATCTTGGAAACCTACGGCACAGTGACTACCTACCGTCTTCTACAATACTCAGCCTTGCTCGTCAGCCATCTCAGCTCCGTACTTAAGTATTTGTAATCTTGTATTGCCTCCCCACCTCCACCTTGCTTCACGATTGTTTTATGTTGTATAAATATGTATATACTGTTAATGTTTAGGTTAAGTATGGTTAAGGTGTAAATTATAGAAAGCTGAATATTTTGTTAAGGAATTTATGGTACTTTATTATACACAACAAAAACTCGCATCCTTTGTCTACCCTTTTATAGTCCGATTGTCTTTGTTTTTTTATTGTTGTTACCTGTTGGGATCTGGGTAGACTTTTAACTATATTCTAAATCCCCAACTCGTAACAATGTATCTGTCAGTCTACCTATCTGCCAGTTTATCTATCTATCTATCTATCTATCTATCTAGTGGCTCCACACCCAGGTCATCACACTTACAAGACAAACAAACAAACTCACCTTATGATTTACACTCGGTACCTGTAGTTTCGTCTCTCCTGTTAATGATGCAATAAGAGAGTGAGTGTACCTTGAATATACACTCTACAGGTGGTCACTTGTCAGCTATAATGACCATCAGGTAACTCAGTAGTCGATCAGTTGAAAGATTCGTTGTTGTTGTTTTGTGACGTCGGTACAGTCTGTCAGTTAAGAATTCCTTGTTTCTTTTGTAACATTGGTTGCTAACGAGGGTACAGTCCATAGTATTTACATAATTGAACTTTACATCAGATATCATTGATTATATACTTCTCGTCTAGCAGTCATACATTGTGATTTATATTTATGGAAACGACTTGTAATTGCTCTTTGTTTCTTTGTTAACACATATTGATAAAACAGTTCTGTAAGGTTTTGTTAATAGGTATACACTGGAGGGGGTTCTTAGGAGTGTTACAATCACAGTTTGTCATTCTGAGCTGTCTAACCTGAAGCACTGGTGGTGAGGCCTATGCGATTCACACCAAGCCGCAGGAGATACTGAACAGCCCAGCCTGAGCCACTGTGCCAGGAGTTCCACATCCTCATCCCAGTGAAAGCCATTTTTTCCCTCCTCTTCACAATCCCACTTGTTCACCCCGAGCCCCTGCCACACACCCCTGTTGACCAAGGCACGGATCCATAAAAGGTTGTAACTGTGACTAATCTCCTCCTGAATAATAACGTAGAGTGCACCTTCCTGTTTTATTGATGATGACCCAAAAATATCTTCATAATTGCACTGACAATTTACCTTTACTAGTTACTTTTAATTACAGACTGCCAGGAGGTTAGATTAAAAAAGTAAATCTTGGAAGAGACTAAACACTGTCAACCCATTCAGGAAACGTATTCACTGTCATAGACTTTCCAGCAAGTTATTAATTCAAGCAGAGAGATATGTGATCTGTTATGCATGACGAGGAGGTGAAACTTTACGTGCCACCGTTGTCTGTACGTGTGTGTGTGTGTGTGTGTGTGTGAGTGTGTGTGTGTGTGTGTGTGTGTGTGTGTGTGTGTGTAGTATTGTGTTGTAATACAGGTTGTTTTATGTAGGTGAATGCGTCAGGAAGGTAGGTTTTTTGTAGTATTTCCTCGTGTTGAAATACTACCCTGGCTCAACAGAAAAAGGCATTCCTCCCTCCCTCTTACTTACGACCCGTCAATATCATATTTTGTTC